TACACAGAAATCTGAGATTCCTAAATGGCCTTCTTAGAGGACCAGTAAGGCAAGTAAGATAGGATATCTCCAAGTCACTTGGAGCCTAATCTCTTGTCTTCATCTTCAGATTTTCATGTCCCATCCCTAGTTATGAAAAAACAGCTACAGGAGTGATGGAATACATTGATGCAAACGTTCACCCAGCCTGCTTCCCTATTCTTTCTATCATTATTCTGTACATGAAGGAGATCTCACACAGTAAAATAAATCATCTAAGACATGATGAATCCTCACCCAAAGCTGTCAAAACTGATGCTTGGGGGCTTTAAAAATAATCATTGCCAAACCACCCCCTCCACTTGAATGAAATATGCAAGACTCCTGGGTTATGTTAATGTATTCCTTATAAAGCAAAAACATTCCCACTTTCTTTGTTACTAAAAAGGAGTGTTCCTTTCATACCCAAGGAGGGAAGAGAAATACATCTCTCTCACACAAATGGGTTGTAGCACACGAACCCTGTGCCAGTGATGTACAAGGAGAATGGAGCAGGTGGCCGAAGCATCAGGGAATAGGGACTGAAATGTCAGGGAGTCGACAGCTTGGGCAAAAATCTGATAGGAAATGGTAGCAGTAAAGAGGGTTGGGGCAGTATTTAGAGTCCCAAAATAGTTAACACACATTTCCCTCATGTGAGGACCCTTCCATGCCTTCTTAAATGTTGGTTAGAATTTAGACTGGAAATCCCACACCTGAGCACAAACATTACATCTGATGCATTTCAAAAGAACCGAAGGATCTTACCATCCAAATCAGTTAGCAGTGTGTGAAAGAACCCAAGGTCCCTGTGGACAAACTCATGGAAACGCCGGATACTTCTAATCAAGCAAAGGCATTTAGGAAATCCTTACAACAAAATTACGGTAAACATTTATTAAGCTTTAATTTTCACAATATCTTATTTCAGTTCTGAAATCAGCCTACAAATATTTCACTACATTAACATCAATCTGGTGATCATTTAATAAATAAAGGAATGTATATATACCTTTGTAAAAATAAGTTTGATATATTTAGGATTCCCAACAACAACAGCAGTAGACCTGATTCCCCAAGGGTCACATGCCTTGAGTCTTACATACATCACTGGCAACAAATCAAGCTCTTTTACAGACGAACAAAAAAAGGAAAGCAAAACCAAAAAACCCCACAACTTTTACAAACGTAAATGCTATCTAAATCTGAAATCTGGGTAGGAAACAATATGAAATCACTCATATCAGTGCTGACAACTGGTGTCATACTAAAAGACACAACTTCCAGTTCGGAATAGGGCAAACAAGGATGACTGTTTCATTGGATGCTGAAGGGTGCTAACTGACATTACCATCACAAGAATTCAATGAAACGCTGGATTCAAGAGATTCAACACATGCGGTTAATTAAGTTGACGTTATAGTAAAACCTTTATATTTTTAAAAATAGACATTAGACATATGGTCAATAACTCCATTAGCTGCCAAGTATAGATAACTGGTATGGAATGCGAACCACAGTCAGAAACACAGCCATCGAAAAGCCTAAATTGGTAGCACTCTATATTCCACAGGACAGGGCATCGACAAGGTATTTATTTCATAGCAAAACAGTCAGAAGAATGCAATAGTCAGGAACAAGGCTGATTTATACCAGATACTGTACAGCGTACTGATTGACACCCAATACCAATTAAAAGCACTGTATCACATCCGGAAAAGAGAAAGAATTCCATTATCTATAGAGAAGAGGCAGAGCTCTGAAATTTACAAACTGCCCTAGGAGGAGGAACTTTTGTAGAACTGTGATGCATTTCAATGCACACCCCGTAGCATAAGAGTTTTGACGCCTTAAGCTTTTAACCCTAACACTTTGTAAGATGACAGCTGAATTTATAGTTAGATCAGCCAGTTTCAAAAGCCACCAAGTATGAACCAGCAAGAGAGATGTCCTTTTTCTCAAGGTCTGTTTAAGTAGGGGTGGGAGGCAGGGGAGTGTCAGGATGAGCAGAAATGAAGCAATTAAAACTTATCCCTGACTATTCCAGGGGCAAGGCAAAGCTGGCATTTGGGAAATCTTGTTGAAAAAAGGCAGGTTTGGGGGCAGCTAGATGGCACAGTGGATAGAGCACCGGCTCTGAAGTCAGGAGGACCTGAGTTCAAATGCGGCCTCAGACCAAACATTCGTCATGTTGCTAGCTGTGTGACCCTGGGCAAGTCACTTAACCCCAACTGTCTACAAAACAAACCAAAAAAAGAAAAGAAAAAAGGCAAGTTTACTACTCCCCAACCACACCCATGGGATTGGAGTTGGAAACTAAAGCAGAAATAAGGTGGGAGGTGGGGTGGTAGACAGCAACAGAACTTTGTATGGAAAAATATATTTCAACATATTAAGGGGATGCACTAAGATGTCACGTGTATACAATGTGACAAGACAAAATTTACACTGATGAAAAAAAAAATTTCTCCCAAACATTCACATTCACATTCAGTATGGCAACTCAGGAGATTCTATCAAGATGTACAGTTTGTATTTATCTTGTTCAAAATTACTATCCTTAGTAAATAGCCATCATGATATAGATATAGGGGGGAAATTAATACTGATTAATTTTACGCGGTCAGTTTATACTTATAATAGCATCATAGTATTCATTAGAATCTATCATGAGAAGTATTGCTCTGTATTATTATCCTACAGCATTTAAGATATACAAAATGTTGTTCAAGGTATGAGACACATGGTACAAAAATATATTTTTCCACATACAAAAGGGTGAGCTCAAAAGAAAAGGCTGGAAGCAAAGGGCAGAGGGGAGTGGCTGTATAACATCAGCTTTTCAGCCAGCTGAAGATCTTCTCTACAAAAGTCCCCTCGTAGATGAAAACAAGACAGGGCCAAAGGTCAAAGGTTTGTATGCAGTATCTTCAAGGTGAATGTTTCTGTCATTAGCATTCAGTTTTCTGATCCCTTTTAAAACACAGGCAACCCTTTAAGAATGTTATCGCCAGCTGAAGATTCTTTGTTTAAAAAGAGAAAGGTATCTCCCTACCTGTACATTAAACAGTATAAAACTAGACACAGACAAGCTTCCATAGAAAAATCAGGCATGAATCTCATATTTCTTGCTACTCAGAGGAATGGTGCCTGTTACAAGACTCATGGGCATTTTCTCTCATACACAGACATGCTTGTTCCCATGTATGTACATGTGTACACACAGACACACACACAGACACATACTCCTCCCTGTGTCCTTCAAATTGACTAAAAAGTCAACCTCCTTTCCTTCTCTGGTCTTGTTCTTTGTCTAGCAAGAGACTCTCATGTGTTTTACAACTTCTGAAAAATGAAAAATAAAGAAAGTAATTTCACTCCAAGAAAAAAAATTAAAGCACACACACCAACCAATAAAAAAAGACCTAAAACTCAATCCATTTGGTAGATGACACATGTTCTACGGTAGGGAGGAAACTGTAAAGCGGTTAAGTATCTACAGAATCAACAATAATTCCAAAAAGTAATTTGGGGAAGGTCCTGGAACCTAAGCAAGAACGAGAATGCTTCCCTTTCCCCTGAGCCCAGCTCCCAGAGGTGCTGAAAAGACACAAGCTAGAAGGACGTGCCTGGAACCATTTCAATCCAGAAAAATCTGTGTTTCCACCAATACCCATAAAGCTCAACTGCACTGAATCTAAATGAACACTTCCTGAATTGACAGGAAGCCGATCAAAGCAGCCTTGTGTTGCATTATGTGCAACTTAAAAATAGCAGTTTCATAAAATTTGCAAAAATTGTTTTTCCAAATAAAAAATCATATGAGGTTGCTAAATTCTGGGTTCTGGGCAGGACAGGTTCCTGCTTCCACCAATTCCCCTCAACCCCCCAAGTCAGATTTCTACTCAGTGGTTTGACAGGGAAATTGAGCACTCAGGTGGTCAGGGAGGAAATCCGCAGGGGAAGTACCAGCACCTTAGGGCACATCCACCACCCATAAAATCTGGAGGAGCTTCTCTGCACACTTCCCTGAGGGTCTGTCTTTTGCTCCAGCGGATTTCACTCAAGCGGATGGGAGCGTACCAAATGGCAAACCAGAACATGTTGGTCTTGTTGGTGACTCCCCTACCAAACGAAGCACCCTCAAATCCTCCTATGATTCCAACCTACTGCCCTGTGGTAACTTCTCCGAGGATCACTGAAAATGAGGATGCTGCAGATTCAGACAAGAAGCACCTGGAGATTCTACTATTAAAATGTTAAGAATAAAACCCAAAGAGTGCTCATTGCTGCCCAGTGGTCCTGAGAGGATGCTTAAACAACTTGCGAGTTGTGTTACCTGGGTTTATTCCTTTCCGAGGCCCTGTCTGGGTCCAAGGCAACCCTTAAAAGAGGCTTATCAAACCAAGACCTGCCTGGTGAGAGTGTCCATGTGACCGCCATCTTGCTATCCAACTTCAGACTCAAAGTCCAAAAACATTTCTCTCCCTGATCCTTGGGATTTCTACTTTCTAAAACCCTTTGGAAGAAAATCCCCAGTTTCAAGTATGACAAAATACGGAGCAAACCCCAGGTCTGCTCGCAAAAGTGAATCATTCATTTAAAGGAGACTCGAGAAAACAAAAATTAATTTTTTTTAAAGGAGACTCGAAAGGGGCAGTGACAATTCTAATAATTCGGTCTGTCGGCCTGAACTCAAAGCTTTCTACTTGTTCACACCCCGACTGACACTCAGGGGGCCCCCTCCCTCAAAGCTTACAACTTGTGAAAAGGGAAACACCTCACACGTGGAACCCACGTTCTCTCTTTAGAGCAAATGCCTACGGATCAAGCTTCTCTAAAACGCCAAATTCACATAATCACTCACTCTAAAGTTTTAATAGACTTGACTCGACCTGCCTTTATAAAAACCTTACAAAATATGTCTTTAAACACTTGAAAAAAGTAATTGTATGTTCTATGCACGGATAATTTTTTTAGTCTATGGTTAACGTGGGTTTTATTGTTCGAAAAAATATTTTTTTTTACACAACTAATGGTTCTCAGGGTGTCTCCATGTTCTACACAAGTGATTTAAAAATTCTTCTCAGCCTAAAGTTGTCATGTGGTCCAATACCCTCACAATGTGCTGTTTTGTTGCTTTGTAACTTTTAGTAAGACGGTGCCTGCTGATCTTCCAAGGGCTGGCGTACGGTGATCAGCCTGGCTTGCCTCATTTGTCGCCGTCTCGATCGATGCCTTCGAGCACCCGGGAGAGGCGAATGTTGAGTAGTCTGATCTGGCTGTCCAGGTGGTCAATCTTCTCCTCCAGGCTGGGGCTGCCCAGGCTGAGGCTGGAGCCGCTGCCGCCGGTGCCTCCACTCCTCCAGTAGAAGCCCACGGGGCCCGTCATGAAGTAAACGGCGACCACCAAGCAGAGGGGCAGGACCGCCTGCTCGGGCTCCCCTTCATACTTCTGCAGGATGTAGACACAGGAGAGGGCAAACAGGGTGACCCTCACGACCCAGAAGAAGCGACCAAACAGGACGTGCAAGAGATAGAAGAGAAAGCCCAGGAAGAGGGACAAGAACCAGTAGGCCAGGAGGACGGCGCCGACCAAGAGCAGAGCACGGGTGGGGTTGTTAGCCACGGCCGCGGGGCTAAAATAATGCGTCAGGTTGGAGGCTGAAAAACAGGGAAGAGGAGAAAAAAGAACTGAATGACCTGCAAGGGACTGGGGGACCCCCCAATTCAAATCTGGACACAGACAAGATGGGTACAACAGTCAATGCTGACAGTTATGGGTCCCCAGAGCAAATCCCCTCCCAGGAACTACCACCTCCCCTCTCCTAGAGACTGTTAGCTCCATGAGGGCAAAGACTGAACCTGTCTCAGAAGTAGGAGTCCCTTGGTGCTAATTTACCACCTCAGTCCTGGTCTGACCCCTCCTGGGGGTGGGAGGTCACCCTGGGCTATGCCAAGAAAAGCCCAAACTTGTTATTATCCCCATTTTACTATTAGTAAACATGACCATGGCATAGTTAGAAACTTTCTACAGGAAGTCTTTCCCAATCCCTCTTAATTCTAGTGCCTCCCCCCATTAATAATTTCCTATTTATCCTGTCTACAACCTGTTGTTTGATTGTGAGCTCCTTAGGGGCAGAGACTGTCTTTTTTCTTCCTTTGTATCCCCAGTGCTTAGCACAGTGCCTGACACATGTAAGCACTTAACAAATGCTTACTGACTGACTGAAAGCATTGAAGGAATGATTCAAACCAGGCCTTCCTGACTTAATTCCAGGACCACTATACCCATACAGTGCTAAACAGATGCCTGCCTTGAACCATGTAGGACTTACCATGCAAGGAAACATGAGTTATCTTGTAACACAGCCAATTCCACTGTTATATAATATAATGTAAAAATTATACGTGTGTGCGTGTGTGTGTGTGTGTCTGTACACTAGGAAGCACCATAGTGCACAAAGCACTGGACCTGTGGGCAGGACAACTCATCTCCTGAATTCAAATCTGGCCTCAGACACTTACTAGCTGTGTGACCCTGGGCAAGTCACTTCACCCCCATTTACCTCAATTTCCTGATCTGTAAAATGAGTTGGAGAAGGAAATGGCAAAACACTCTAGTAACTTTGCCAAGAAAACTCCAAATGGGATCAAGAAGAGTTGGATACGACTGAACAACTATACACACACACATGCACCCACACATATACATAGTAGTAGTTTTTCAGCTGTTTGAGTATATTTGGTTGTCTCAGTTTCCTCATCTCAAAATAGGATAATAACTAGAGAACCGACTATGAAGCGTTGTTGGGAGGAACTGCCACAATATAAATAATGCCCCTTGAAAACTTAAAAGACAATGTACAAAAGCCACCACTTTCACTAACTGGGATTCCCAGAGCACAAAATGACTGTACCGTAAGGAGAAGACAAGAAGATAGGGGAAAACTGGCCTGGAATGAAAACTCACTACAGAAAACCACCCAAACAAGAGAGTCAATGTGTCTGTGCCTAGCATTTTGACTACCGCTGGTCCCCTTCCCTTTCCCATTTATTGACCGTCCTCTAACATCTGAGTGAGAGGGCAGAGGGGGCTGGGATACCACTGTTACTATTTTACAAGTATGAAAACTAAAGCCCAGAGGAATCAGCGGGTGCCAGGCCCTAGCTCTCTGGGGGTCTGGTAACTGATTTAGCACTGGCTGCTCAGGAAGGATGCAGGCACTGTTGCCTTAAGGTTCATATAGCTGCTGCCCTGTCACATGCAATCTCCTGTAATCAGGTTCAGTTCTTCAGGGCTTGCTCAAAGGGATTTCGTAATCTGGGAAGATGGTAAACACAGAATCTACATGGGATTGCAAGAAATTGCTTTATCTGGTTTGTCTCCCAAGAGCCACTATTAAAGGTCCAGGGGGAAAAGAGGAGGCCAAAAGCAATCCCTGAATGAGCCAGACCGCTCTCCTCAAGGCATTCCCTGTGATCTGGACTTGGGCAGGGTCGGAACCTGGGCCTGTCTGTCAGACACACAAAGCAGGTAGCCCTCAGAATCATTCATTGACCATTCTACAAATATTAAGCCCCTCTATTATGTGCCAGGCACCAGAGGTACAAAGACAAGAAGGAAACCACCCCTCCTCTGAAGTAGCCTACATCCTACACCCATATGGAGATAAGTCAGTAAAAGTAAATTTTTACAGGGCTATGGCAGGGCAGCAGGCACTGTAATAACTGGAGGGGATCAGCTGAGCGGGGAAGCGAGCTAGGGATTCCAGGAGGTGGTACAGGAGAGCCTTCTAGTCACGTACAAGGAAGAGTATATGAGGAGAAGGGTGAAATTGGTGTGGCTAGGTAGACGGCAAGCAGGTCCCCAAGAGGAGTCCGTCTTTGGGACAGAGGAATAGACAGCCAATGAGGCTTCCTGAGCAGAGGAATGACACCCGTGCTCTGGGAAATGCCAGTGTGCTCACTGGGTGGAGGATGGAGAGGGAAGCATGTGCTGGGGGGGGGGGAAGGGTAATTAGGCAGCTACGGCATAAGTCCAAGTGAGAGGCAACAAGGGCCTGAGGTGTAGGCCAGGCCCAGTTACTGGTCCCAAAGACCCCCCCTCACCCCAAAAGAATGCAAAGCAAAGAGAGATACCAGCTACATATGGACAGATGGCAAGATGAAAGGGGACCCTCCCTGGGCCTGTCCCTCGACTGGTGATAAGGGGGAACCATAATACCACCCACCCTTTGGTGGAAGTGACATGAGGCACAGGTGATGAACAAACTAGGAATGTGGTCAGAGGGAGCCAAGGCCCCAGAACACTGTCACCTATTCCAAACTCTGTATTACTGATCCATTCCCTGACCCAATCGAACACAACCAGTTAGCAGAAGAGTCAGCAGTCTACCTACCGTCGATTCCGAGAACATCCAGCAGATCAGTCCAGAGTCTCCACAGCGTCTCCACTAAGATGTCCACGCCATTTACAAACCTCTCTGTTGACCTGGAGAAAAACTACAAAGACCAAAAAATAAAGAAAGCGTTAGTAAGGAAGCCCATGAATTCATTTCTCCAATTTCTTCCATGACCGGTCATGGGTGGACTACATATGAACTTCTGTTCCCTGCCCAAGATAAAAAGTGTTAGAAATGGTTGGGGAGTGGGAAGGGAGGAAGACAGACAGTGAGGACACTCTGGTGGAGGGCCAGAAATAAAAAGCTTCTACAAACACAAAACCCCTGGCTCAGGCAGCACGGGAGGCAGAAGGGGGAGTGGGAGAGGAAGAAGAGGCTATTCTCCAGTGTGCCCTTCAGGGAAAGGTCATCTGTCCAAAGCTGGACTACAACTTAAGACCACTTAATGATTCTGAAGTAATCCCTCCCTTCCCTTAACATCCTGTTTTTCCTCTTATGTGGACCGTGAGCTGGGTAATGTGGAAGATGTAATAATGAGACAGAGGTGCTGAAGGATTCCGAGTTCTTTTGCTAAATATAAATAAAGACAAGGGGCTGACATCATTATCAATTCAATATGCTGGTTGGGCTGTCCTCCTACGGAGAAGGAAGAAAAGAGGAAAGAGTAAAGAGGAAGAATGTAGCCACTTCGAAGGAACCCAAGGACCCTTTGAAGCCACATTCAGAACAATCCAGCCACTGAAGGGACGCCATCTTGTTATCTTCAAATAAATCAGGCCTATCTCCAGGAACAATGATCTGGGACCCTATAAAAAGTCTAAGACGGGTCAACGTGCTGACCCCCTGAGAGCTAAATACAGACTCTGGGGGAGAGAGAGTAAGTAGCCCAGGAGAATCCAAGAGGCTCACCACCTTTGAGGCAGGAGTGGGTGACAACTCTTATAATGATGCACCAGTGAGGAAATTTGAGCTCAACCAGACCAGGAATAGAGAGAAAAAGTGTCCTCAGCAAGCACTTTAGGGAGGAAAGGCTGGCAAAAAAGGCCAACTCAGCATGGAGAAAAACAAATGGCCCTCCAAATAAGACCTGCAAGGTTGTCTGCTGTGTGGAAGAGGAATTAGATTTCTTTTGTTTCACCAAGAAGACTGAAGAAGTCCAAGGGGAGATGGGGAGTGAGGGAGGATCCTTGGAAAGGGAAGATTTCCTAAGAATTAGAGATGACTACCACGCTATGAGAAACACATGTGAGGAATTCAGAGAAGCACAGACAGACTTGTATGGACTGATGCAAAGTGAGATGAGATCAGCCATGACCGCAACATAAATGGAACGAAAACCAAAACTGATTTCTTCTAAGTGTAATGAACAAGTCCGGCCCCAAGAGATGTGAAAATGTACCTCCCCTCCCTTCTTTGCCAAGGCAGAAGAACAACAGGGATGGATTCTGCATCTACTGTCAGGCTCAATGTTTAGCTTGGTTTTTACTGACTTGTCTTTTATAATTTTTTTATTTTAAATATTTTATTTTTGTTTTCAGTTCCAAATTCTCTCCCTCCCTCTCACCCCATCTCTCACCCATTGTGAAGGCAAGAATTATACAACATTCACTATTACACATAAGAAAAACCTGCCTTTTAAAAAAAGTTAATAACAGCACTCACATGGTGCTTTAAGGTTTACAAAGCACTAATCAGTACCAATGAGGGGGAAGGGGGTCCCCCACGACACATCTCAAGGTAGACTATCAGCTGCCTCCGAAGGCAGTGAACAGTTTCCATTCACTGGAAGGCTCCTGAGCAAATGAAGAGCAACCTCTTCTTATGAACACTGTAGAAAACATTCTTGTTCAAATCTGAATTGAACTAAATAAATACTCTGTGAGATGTGAATTCTGAAATCCCTTTTTGGGGGGTGGGGGTGGAATGAGGGTGGTGTTTTAAAGGAAAGTCTCAAGAAATTCCCCATCCCACCACTCACATTTGTCATGGATCCTACAGGCTCTGTTGTGGTATTAATACAGTAAAAAATTCTAAACCAGCTACTTCCAATCTGACAGCTGAGGGAAATTTACCTTGTCCAGGGCCCAAAGTACCATTAAGCAATCTAACATACCCTTAGCGAAGAAAGGAAACCGATTAGGATCTTTTACTGAAAAGGAATCATGCCCCAGTGAAAAGCACACAGAATTTAGAGATGAAAGACCTGGCTTTAAGTACCAGCGCTAACTACGCCTGCCACCTGGGTAAATCAACCTCTCTGGGCCCTAGCTCCCTCACCTATAAAACAACCGAGCTGGGTGTTGCTCATCTTGAAGGACCGTTTCAAGCTCTAAAGTTGGGCCACTTAAACTGAGAAATTACCTATACAGGGGTGGGGGACCTGTGGCCTTCTAGGTCCTCAAATGCAGCCCTCTGACTGAACTGCACTTGAGGACGTAGAGGACCACATGTGGCCTCAAGGCTAAAGGTTCCCCACCCCTGGAACTTGGCCAAAAAAAAAAAAAAGAGCAGAAGGTCACGTGTCTTTTCAAGAAATACATTTAGAAAAAAACACACACAACAAAAAAACACCTTCTTTCCCAGTGGACTTAAATTGTTTGGCTAGGGGTTGCTTTCTTATTAAACTTCTTGAGAACACTGGGACTTTCCGAAGTGTTCAAAGTGATCTAGGGGACAATCTGGGCCTGGTGTAATCAACCATTTGACCAGGAACCTAAAGTAAGGTAGCTTGTCAAGCCACTGCTTGGGGGGCAGGGGGCACAACCCACTGACCTCTGCCTGACCACAAACCACAATTGATCATCTCGCCACCCAGGCCCCTAGCAATGCTGGCCAGCACCATCTCTCCCTCTCCCCCTCCCCAACTCTCCTGCAAAACTGCAAGCGGTCCCCAAGAAAACTGAGCTGTGGCCCGGAAAAGGCTTCACCACAAAGGGATGATGCGGCACACAAGGGGGGCCCATCTCTGCCAGCCCTGAAGGCAAACCTACTCTATGAACCTGGGAAAGATAGGACAGATGTTTGTTGTTATCTTTGCTGCTCACAAAGGGGTAAGCCCAAAGCAGGCAAAGCCCTCCCCTCCCTCTCCCCAGGCTTTTGCTCCTCTTCAGCTCAAGACTCCTACAGCTCTGGAGGCAGAGCAGAGCTTCAAGACCATTTACTTTTAATACTCTTTCCTTACAAGTAAAGAAACCCAGACTCAGAGAGGGAAGTGTCTTGTTCAAGGTCACTGAGCCGAGTTAGCAGCAAATACACTCTCCGTCCAACCAAGCAGGCTGTTGTGGGCTCCCTGGCCGTGTCCTGCTCACTCCCCTTGCCCGGAATGCCCTCCTTACCCGCCTCGACTCCCTCCTTCAGATCTCAGGGCCCCTGCATGGGGCCCTCGGATTTCTTAGGGCCATGTCTCTTTCTCCATATCTGGCCTCCCCCAGCACTCTGCATCCCATTTCTTTGTCTCACTTGGCATGCAGTGCCTGGTAGGGCCATTTAAATGTTTCATGTATACATGTGGGCTCTCCAAGCAGATCACAAGCTCCCTGAGCATGGAACCCATGGCTAGGCTCGTTTGTACCACCCTACCTCTACACCACTTTGTACTACAACTTCTATACCAGCAGCTAACACTTATATATCACTTACTATGTGCCAGGCACTGTGTTAAGCATTTTACAATTATTTCATTTGATTCTCACAACAACCCTGTGTGGTAGGTGTTATTCTTATCTCCATTTTACAAATGAGGAAACTGAGGCAAACAGCAGTGAAATTACTTGCCCAGGGTCATACAGCCGGGGCTACATTTGAACTCAGGTCTTCCTGACTCTAGGCCCAGAGCTCTATCCATTGCCCCAAGTACACATTAAGCTCTCATTTCACAGCAGTCTGGTACTGTACCTCAATGCCCTTTAGGCAGGTCCAAGGAAATTACAGGATCCCAGACCCAGAGCTAGATGGAAGTTCAGAGGCCATCTAGTCCAATCCCCTCCTTTTACAGATGAAAAATGAGGCTCAGGCAGGTTAGGGGACTTGCCCAAGGTCATACAGGCAAATAAGCATCAGAGGTCAACAGTTTGCTAGCAAGGTCAACCATCTACACTGGCCACTTCAGAAATCTTCCAAAGAAATAAGTTTGCTGCCATCTCAAACAAGGTAATTCAATTCACCAGACTTCCAAGGGAGACATTTCTGTCCAGTTCTTAAGACTGGATGTAGGGACACATCTTTTAAAAGTAAATATGTAACAGCACTTTTTCCCTCCCATAGCTAGCTCTATGACTCTGGACCAAACAAAAAGCCAGAATGTTCCTATCAGACACACAGTTACATATACACTCCCCCCACCCCCCACAGAGCCAGCCAGCCACACACACACACACACACACACACACACACACACACACACACCCCAATGACTGACATTTATAAGCAAATGAAGCACTTACATACATTCTCTCCTTAGAGACTCTTTCATCAGACAGTTATCCCCATTGGAGAAGGGAGGTTAAGTGACTTGCCCATCTCACACAGTTTGAAGTACAGGATTCGAACTTGGTTCTTCCTTATTGGGTCCAGCACTCTTACGAACTCTGCTTGATGTCTAACCACCGTGTCATACCTTTGGGACTAACCAGAGCAATCCTAATAAAGACCCTTTAAATGAGCCTTATTGAAAAGCTCGGGCTCTACCAGTATCCACTTTTATTTTTTTAAAGATTCAAAAATAAATGCATGTACTGCCAAATGAGGTGGTCATTACATTCCATGGAAAATCAAATCAGTAAAAGGACTTTCTTTGTCCTGAATTTATTTTGATTTGAGAGACACTATGACCTAAAATGGCAGCCCTGAGCCATGAGGACCTGAGTTCAAGTCACACTTCTGCCACGGGGTAAGTCACAGAACCTCTCAGGGTTCCCACTACCAATGGCAGAGCAGATGCCAATAAGTGCCAACAAAAGGTGTTTCTCATACCAATGAAATCACAAGTTAAAGACAAAAACAAACTCTTGATTTCCTCTAGGTCTGTAATCAAGGGACCTGGATTCAAATCCCAACCCTCCTATTTATTAGGTGTTTAACCTTGGGCAAGCTGCTTACACTCTGAGACTCAAATTCCTCATCATGAAAAGAGGGGATTGTACTTAATGCCCTCTAAAGATCCTTCCTATTCAATCACTCGGTAAACATTTATTAAGAGCTACTATATGCCAGGCACTGTGCTAAGCAAAGAAGCAAAACCAGTCCCTGTCCTCAAGGAGCTTACAATCTAACCTAAGCCTCTAAATCTATGTCACACTATGATACCTTCCTCAAGATTCAAAGTCTCCTTTCAGTATCTGGTGAAGAAATTAACACCTTGTTCCACAGACTTGATACAAATTCATTTATGAAACAAGCTAATGTTTTGGAGAACACAAGCTCCCCACTTTCTCTTCGTCTTGCTACTATGTTTAGATCCCTTAGGCTGGAAATCCAAAGACTATTATACTTCAGAGATAAAAAGTAAGTCCTATAACCAGATAACTCCTCATAGGAATGGTAGATTAGGATAGGATAATACTCCCAACAAGACCATTCGCTGAAAAAGTCATTCCACCAAACCTTTTAGTAAAAGGCTAAGAAGGCTGAGGGTCTGGTTCAGAGGTCCCCTGGTTCTCCCTCTCTCTAAAAGGAAACTTTTGACCCACACGCTCTCCCCAATCCTCCCAGAGCTAGAATGCTCCATTTCCTTTTCTTCTGGGAATCAGAGGTACCAGTCAATAACTTTAGTTCTTAGAATTGGTCTAAGTACCTACCATTTAGGGGGTAAAAAACTTCAGAGCCATTAGAAGAGGTAGAATACAATTGAGAAAGATGAACAAAGGTCATTACTTCTGGGAACTCTGCCAGTATCAGCAACTGCCTCAACCGTCGTGGATAGATCCTAATCAGTACCCTGTGCTCTGTCCCATAAACCTAATGCAGGAAGCCACTGTCAAGGCAACAACTTGTACTTTCCCTAACTCTGTTCAGTGAGGAGATAAAGCCAGAAGACCTGTCACAGCCTCTAAATCAAACAGCTAAGTTTTATAAAGAAAGAAATAAGAGAAAGAAAGCCAAATGTGGGTGCAACTCAAGAGAGTTGAGTCAGAAAAGAGTGCCAAGGGCACTTTGTGCCCAAGCTCTGTTGGATTTTCCTAAAGAGGATAATGTGCTGTTAAGTTTCCCGGGGAAGTGGGTTGAGGCTTTGTCATGGTAGGACGAAAAACCCTAAGACTAAACTAGGTGTTATTTACACAAGGTACTATGAGGTGGAGGAAAGGGGGTCAGTCTACTTAAGTGAGGGTAGTGAGGCCCACCCAGGCCCCACTCTGAGTCCCAGATTCCCAGAGGGTTCAGCTAAGGCCAGCACCACCACCCCATCCCCCACCGCGAAGCAATCTGTTAAAAGGGCTGCAGGGAGCCTTCCTTGGGGGTCCCCCGAGGCTGGGGCCCAGGCAGTTCGGCACAGTCCACCAAGGAGCCGGGACCAAGGAGAAAATCTAGAGTGAGCTGGGATTTGTAAGACTACAGGCTGACCAGAGAGGGAGCCCAAGGTACCCACGGGCCAAAGTGCCCTTCGTTCTCAGCCCCGACCCCAAAGATGGATGGGGGGCAGGGAGGGGGAAGCTGGAGAGAGAAGCCCTCCCCTCCCAGGACCCTAGGCGCGTCACAAATGCCCCTGGGCCACACTGCCCCTCCTGAGGCTGAGGGCGGCTCCCCCGATCCTGGAGGGCCCCGGCATTCCCGGCTGACCCCCACCGCTTCCCCAGCCTGCCTCCCTGGGTGAGGATGCCCAGGGGCAAGGTGACCCAGCGGCGGGAGCGCACGGGGGGCGCCCCACCTTCTGCACGGCTCGCACGTTGTCCTCCCCGCACAGGCTGCTCACGCTCTGGTAGACGCCGCTGGCCGCCCGGCGGAACGTGTTCTGCTTGTCGGCGCCGCGTCCCCGCGCAGCCTGCGCGCCGGGCCCGAGCAGCAGCAGCAGCGACAGCAGCGCAGCCAGCTGCACAGGGGGCCCGGCGCGCGCGCCCATCGTCCGTCCCGTCAGCTCGGCGAGCCCCGAGAACCCCGGCGCGGCCTCCTGCGCGTTCCCTCCGGCCGCCGCCTCCCGCACGCTCTGCCCCGGCGCCCGCCTGCGCCTCCGCCCCGCGCTGCTCCTGCTGAGCTCCTTCCGCTTCCGCAGCCCCGCGCAGCGCCCCCGGCGGCCGCCGCCGCTCCACGCCACGCCGCGCCGCGCGGGGCCGGCCCCGCCCCCGCGCGCGCCTCGGGCGCACGCGGGCGCCGAGCAGGAGGAGAGAACCTGAACCGGAGCCCGGCGCAGAAGCGGGACGGAGGCTGTCCAGCTTTCCCTGCGCGCTCACTCCCCTGGGCCCCCCTCTCGCCCCCCCAGTTCCCTCGCCCCCCGTGCATGTCTCCTCTACCTTTCCTCCTTCCTTCCATGCGTCCTTTCTTCCATCCATCCATCCATCCTCCCATCCTCCCTTCCTTGCTACATTCCCTTGTTTCCATCTTCCCTCCCTCCTTCCATCCATCATTCTTCCTTCCTAGCTCCTCTTCTTCCTACCTTCCCTCCTTCCTTCCATCCATCTTTCCATCTCTCCCTCCTTCCATCCATCCATCCATCCATCCTCCCATCCTTCCTTCCTTTCTACCTTCCCTTCTTCCCATCTTCCCTCCTTCCTTCCTTCCATCCATCTTTCCTTCTCTCCCTCCTTCCATCCATCTTTCCCTTCTTCCTTCCATCCATCCATCCTTCCTTCCCCTCCCTCCTTCCATCCATTCTTCCTTCCTACTTTCCCTTCTTCTCTCCTTCCTTCTTTCCTTCCTTTCTACCTTCCCTCCCTCCCTCCATCCTTCCATCCATCCATTCTTCCTTCCATCCATCCTTCCTTCCTACTTTCCCTTTTTCCTACCTTCCCTCCTTCCTTCCATCCGTCCATGCATCCATCCGTCCATCCTTCCTTCTTTCCTTCCCACCTTCCCTCCCTCCTTCCTTGTATCCATCCTTCTTTCCTACCTTTCATCCATCTTTCCTTCCCTCCCTCCTTCCATCCAGCCTTCCTTCCTTCCATCCATGCATTAAAGGGTTTAGTGTAAAGAGGCTGCAAACAATGACTATTAATAGTTTTCAGATCTTAATGCCAGTGTTTTCCCTCTAACATTTGTCTCCAATTTCTCCTGCTTGTTCATACTGATTTGCATAGGTATATCGCCCCCCCCAAGCCCTATTAGATTGTGAGCTTTGTGAAGGCAGGAGCTTTTCTTCTTTGTATCCCCAGTGCTTAGAACAGTGCTCCGCACATAGTAGGTGCTTAATGAATGCTCCTTGTTTTGACACGTACGCATACAGGCAGCCTTTCCCAACCCTTCTTAATTCCAGTGCCTTTCCTCTGTTAATTATTTATTTGTCCTGTATATGGCTTATTTTATATTGATTTGTTTGCATGCTGTATCCCCTGTTACACTGTAAGCTTCTTGAGGGCAGGGACCATCGTGCCTCTTTTTGTATTCTGAGCATTTAGCACAGTGCTTGGCACATAGTAGGTGCTTAATGAATGCTTGTTGATTTGACACGTATAGTTGTTTGCATATTGTCTTTTATGTTAGACTGTGAGTAAGCTTAGTGAGAGTAGGGAATGTGCTCTGCCTTATATGAGTCCCTAGTGCTTAGCACTGCGACAGCTAAATTCCCACCTTCCACAATGTTTATTGATTGATAGTAGGTGCTTAATAAATCACAAAAATGATCACTGAATCCATCATTTAAGAACCATTAAGATAGAGCTTGGAGGGATCTTAGGGACCATCTATCTAGTCCAAGCCCCTCTTTCCATCTGAGGAACTAAGGCCCAGGAAATGAAGTGACTTGCTCAAGGTCACACAGGCCATAAATGACAAAGTTGGAATTCAAACCCAGGTGTTCTGAAGCCTCTAACCTAGTAATTTCTCCAGAAGGTTGTCCCCAGGAGTTTCATTCATTCAACAAATGTTTATCAAGTACCCACTTTGCAATGTGATGGGAGAAGTACCAACTTTAGATGGGACAAGGGTCCCTGTCCACCTGGTTCTTTCTGAGTAGAAAGTTAAGCTACAGCCATAGAGGCTACTATGGAAATATGGTTTGCATTACTTCACATGCCTAATAGATGTCATATTGCTTGCTTTCTTGAGGAATGGGGAGGGGCAGGAGGGAGAGAATTTAGAATTCAAATTTTTAAAAAATGAATGTTAAAAAATGTTCTAAATATAATTGGGAAATATTTAATGAAGCAAATATACATACAACCGTAGAGAATCACACAATAGGAATTAATTAGTCAAAACCTCCACTAAAATTCTCCAATGCCTTTTGTCCTTGGTTTTATTTCATGTTGTTTTGTTGCCCACAACCAGATTGTACACCGAACGGAGAGGCATGAAATAACTTATGACATGGGCCAGGCGGAGTAGAATTACTGACTCCGTTTATTCATCTGAGGGCACAGAATATATATGGAAGATCTAGCCTAACTTCAAAGAGTCCTCCCCGTGAGATACTCCCCAGAACATCTGCTGAGGATGTAACAATCATGAATTTCCTCCTTATCAGGGTTCCTAGATTGGGCTGTAGATTCCAAGGTTTTCCCAGGCGCCTTGGCGCCACCTGCGTAGAGGAGTAAATATGTAAATCTGAGGTTCAAAGAGAGAGAAGGGATGTCTCAGAGACCTCTTTATCAGGAAGGAATTGGGGAGCCGTACCACTTAATCCATGAGCCCTTTGGGGTGAAAGCCTGAGCAGAGGCCAAACTGCCTTGGATCTTAAACCCTTATCAGACTCTTAAGATCGGCCCTCAACATTGTTTCCCTTTATATGCTCTCTGTTCCAGTCAAAATGACCTGGTAGATGTTCCCCATATAGAATGTTCCTGGGCCTTTGCTCAGGTTGTCCTCAGTATTTGGAATGCTCTCTCTCCCCTCCTCCAGCTGGTAGAATTCTTAGCTCCTTTCAGAAAACAGCTAAGGTGTCACCTCCTCCGGTGAGCCTTTTCTGATCTCCCCACCAGATTATTCTGTATTTACTTTGCATGTATTTATCTGCCTGCTTTATATTCCACCCCCCCAAAAAAAAAAACCCAAACAAGTTCTTTTAAGATAGGAATTGTTTTATTTTTGCCTTGGTATGCCCAGCCAGGTACAGTTCCCCCCACATGGTAGGTAGTGATTTAATAAGAGCTTTTAATTAAATCAGAGGATATTCCAGGAACACACAAATTCTGGTAGGTTCCGTCCAGCTAGAAAGTCACAGGATCATAGATTTGGAGAAACCTCAGGGGTGTCTAGTCCGACTGAGGTACAGAAAGATGAAATAACTTGGCCAGAGTGAAGACAGAGAGGATTTGAACCCAACCCTGTGGCTTCAAATGCACTGTTCTTTGGAGCGTACCACACACCGCACTAGGCAACAGACCATCTAGAGAAGCTACTTGCCAGCCTGGCCAGGTTGGTGCATTGATGGGGAATGAAAGACACAGAGGAGCTCAGATCTGTGCTGATGGAAGGAATTTCCACACTGACGGAACCACGAATCCTTGGAATATTGAAGTATAAATGAATTACTACATAGACAGCTCCTGACAGAGACGTGATGGACTACATCTACATAAGGAGAAACACATTTTGGGATGGATCAATGCAGGCTTCTGTTTTTGTTTGTTTTTGTTTTTTTTTCCCTGGGGGTCGGGAAGGATTGGGAGAGAAAATAAAAGCTTGTTCATTGAAAAGAATTAATTAAAAAATACAAGTGCGTTAGAGGATTGCAACGTGCAGCCTGAGGATACTGTGTGGGGAGAAATTCTGAAAGGCTGTATTTAAATTGGGCTTTAAAAGGTGGTGTGTGGACAAAAGAGGTGGGGAGGGATGCAGAGGGATGAGGAGGAAGGGCATTTGAGGCTGGTGGAGGAGTTTAGCAAAGACACAGAAATGGGAGAGCAAAAAAAATAGAGTGTTAAGCTGTAGCACAGAGTACAGGGGTGGGGGGAGGCGAGTAACATGGAATCAGGCTTGGGAGGGTGGAAAGCTCCAGATCGGGGAGGATCTTCAATGTCAATAGTAAAGGAGTTTGAGATCTACTTGAACAAAGGAATGACGCGGCCAGATCTTTGATGAGTCAGGCAGCAATATGAAGGAGAGAGGAAAGGGAAGAGAGTATAGAAGCAGGAGGATTGGTTGGGAAGCTTTTGCAAGAATTCGGGTGGGTGGTAATGGGGTGCTAGCTCCCTCTGATCCTAGAGCCACCTTCCAATAGAGAACCCCAATAAACTAGTCAACAAGCATTTGTTAACATGCTGCCCACCTCCTGATAGAAAGGTGGTCTTGCAATGCACAATGAGACACCGTTTTTTCTGGCTGTGGCCAATGTGGACATTTGTTTTGATTCACTATATATGTTTGTAAGGGTTTTGTGTTTCTTGTGTTCTCATGGGATTGGAGAGGGAGGATGAGAGGGCAGATCTTGATTGATTAAAACAAATAGAATATTTAAAAACCAAACAAGAATTTGTCCAGCGTATAACAAGTGCTGGAATTGGGGATATAAAGACAAAAGTGAAACAGTCCCTGCCCTCAGAGAGCTTACATTCTATTCCTGCAGACGACGTGCGCGTGTCTAAGTAGATGCACAGATATTTATAGGCATAGAAATACAAGGTAATTTAGGAAGGCACTAATGGGAGTGGGAAAGGGGAGTGGAGATTAGGAAAGGCCCCAGCTTGGCAGTTGAATGAGCTTTGAAGAGAACCAGGGATTCTAAAAGGCCGTGAGAGGAGGAAATCTGTTTCAGGTGTGTGGGATGGCTTGTGCAAAGAATGGAGGCAGGAGATGGGAGGTTGTGTGTCAGAAGCAGCAAGAAGGCCCATTGGTGGACCATAAAATTCATGATGCAATATATTTGTTGTTGTTGTTTATTTGTGTCTGACTCTTCATGACCCCATTTGGTGTTTTCTTGGCAAAGACACTGGAGTGGTTTGCCAATTCCTTCTCCAGCTCATTTTGCAGACAAGGAAACTGAGGCAAACAGGGTGAAGTGACTTGCCCAAGGTCACAAGGATAGTAAGCATCAGAAATGGGATTTGAACCCACTCCAAAGGGGTTAGTGCTCTTTTCACTGTATAGAAGATAGGTCAAAAGGGTAAAGACTTGAGTCAGGGAGAGAGACTTTTTTTAAAATTAAATTTATTTACTTATTTTTAGTTTTCAAAACTTACCTGAATTCTAAATTTTCCCCCTCTCAAGGAGGAAAACTTTTGTGATAGTCCAGGTTTGAGGCGATGATGATAAGGCGGCATGAGTGGAGAGAAGGCATGTGGAGGTAGCATTGACAGGACTTAACAACTGATTAGATGTGTGAAGTGAGGGAGACTTGAGGAGGCACAGTCAAAAATGACTTAGCCAAGTGACTAGGATAGTAATTCCCCTTTCAAAATAAGGAAGTTCATATGCCCAAGGAGCCATCAAACTGTGCATACTTTTTGATCCAGCAATACCAGTGTTAGGTCTATATCCCAAAGAGATCATAAAAATGGGAAAAGGACCCACATGTACAAAAAATACTTGTAGCACAGCTCTTTTTATGGTGGCAAAGAATTGGAAATTGTGGGGATGCTCATCAATTGAAGAATGTCTGAACAAGTTGTGGTATATGAATGTAAAGGAATACTATTGTGCTATAAGAAATGATGAACAGAAAAACCTGGAAAGACTTACACGAACTGATGCAAAGTAAAGTGAGCAGAACCAGGAGAACATTGTACACAGCAACAGCCATGTTGTACAATGGCTAACTTTGATAGACTTCGCTCTTCTCAGCAATGCAAGGACCTGAGATAACTCCAAAAGACTCATGATGGAAAATGCTGTCCACGTCCAAAGAAAGAACCTTGGAGTCTGAATGCAGATGAAAATGTACTGTTTGTTCTCTTTTTTGTTGTTTTGTCTTGTTTCTTCTTTCTTGTGGTTCCTCCCATTGGTTCTAATTCTTTACAACATGACTAATGTGAAAATATGTTGAATATGGAAGTATATGTAGAGCCTGTATCAGATTACGCACTGTCTTGGAGAGGAGGGAGGGGATCATAGCACACCACCACTGTCCACGGGGGTTGTTGGCAAAGATATCGGCGTGGTTTGCAATTTTCTTTTCCAGTATTACACCACATAGCTGCCTCAAAATTCAAAGTTCAAAGTACCTTTTTTGGGTGTTCCCTCTCTCTAGCTGTGCCCTTTCAAAGCACACCCAACTGGTATACTGGAGATCCTTGCCTGCCTGGCCTCATAGTGAAATCTTACATTCCTCCAAAGCTTTTCTTGATAGATTGGGAGTCAGGAAATCTGGATCCTAGTCCTGACCCTGTTATTCCCTTCTCTTAATCCAGTTTCCTCTTCCTCTTCTAGGATAGTGAGTTCCTTTTACTTTTTTTTTTAAAGGTTTAAAAAACCTTAAACCTCCCTTTTTTAAAGGCAGGGAACCAGTAAAGTGGGATGGGTTTGGACCCTGTGATTTTATATGTTTTACGCTAGGAAACTTCTGGTGTGAAACATCCCCCTAGTCCCAAGCAGATCTGCAGCTCTGAAATCTTCAAGAGAGTTGCTTGAGGCACTGGGAGGTTAGGTGACATGCCAGTGGTTTAAGCTAGTATGTATCAGAGATGGGAATTGATCCATCCTCTCTCAAGTGAGAGAATGTGTTCAAAACACTGCAAGCCTTGGAGATTTATACAAATTAATGTTCTCACACTATGTGCTTAATAAATGTAGAATTGAAAAAATGGAAATAAAACCAGCCTGCTCTCCCTCACAGCTGTTTTGAGTATCAAATAACATTGTTTTATTTCATTTTTGAGGAAGGAAGAGATGACAGGAATAATTGTTTCATTTTACAGATAGGGAAACTGGATTCTTGTAAGGATCCAAGGACGAACTGGAAACTATTGTTTTTGGTGGAGAGAGGTCAGCAGATGTGGAGTGAATCCCCTGCCCTGCCCCTAACAGGGGGACAGTGACAATCTCTCTGGGACTCATTTTCCTCCTGGAGACTACATTGTTTACAAGGTCACTTCCAGCTGTCATTAAAAAAAAACTACCACTTTTATTTTATCTTGTTTTTAAGTTAACAAGCATTACTTTCTCTCTCTCCGCCTGGGCGGAAAAACCCTCATAAATAAATATCTAAAGTGAAGCAAAACAAATTCCCATGTCCAAAAATATAGGTCCATTCTACATTTTGAAGCCATCACCTCTCTGTCAAAAGGTTCATGCTTCATCATCTATCCTCTGGAATTATTGTTTTCATTATGTTGATCAGAGTTCCTAAGTCTTTCAAAGTTGTTACAGTGTTGTTATTGAGTAAATTGGCTTCTGCTCATTTCACTGCCTCAGTTTATACAAGTCTTCTCAGGTTTCTCTAAAACCCTAGGGTGTCCTTTAAGGTGAAACGATATTCCATTGCATTCATATATCATCATTTGTTAGCCATTTCTCTAAGTGATTGGCAGCTAGGTGGCACAGTGGGTAGAGTGCTGGTTGGGCGTGGAGTCAGGAAGACTCATCTTCCTGAGTTCAAATCTTGCCTCAGACGTTTAGTGGCTGTGTGATCCTGGGCAAATCACTTAACCCTGTTTGCCTCAGTTTCTTCATGTGTAAAATGAGTTGGAGAAGGAAATAGCAAATCTCTCCAGTCTCTCTGCCAAGAAAACCCCAAATGGGGTTACAAATAGTTGGACACAACAATTGATAAAGCCCCCTCTCTCTTCTAATTTCTAGTCCTTTGCCCCTACTTTTTTGTAGCAACTATAAATATATTTAGATGTTTAGGAACTTTAACTCCTGCTTTTATTTCTTTGGGGTATAGGTTTAGTAGTGATATAGCTGGGTCAAAGGGGAAGCAGCCAATCCATCAATCAACATTTATTAAGTGCCTAAATGTGCTAAATGAGGAAGGAAATAGCAAACCACTCCAGTATCTTTGGCAGGAAAACTTCAAATGGGATCATGAAGAGTCGGACAGGACTGAAACTATAGAAAAACAACAACTATGTGCCAGGCATTGTGCCTGCCCTCAAGGAGCTTACAATCTAATGGGGGCTACAACACGTAAACAAATGTATAAAAGCAAGTAGGAAGTAATCAGGAGAGGGAAGGCAGAGAAATGAAGAGGAGTTGGGGAAGGCTCCACCAAAGGCCCCCAGTGCGCTGCTTCCCCCTCCATCACCGGCCGGGGCGCATTCTTGTGTCCACTTTGCAGAACCAAAGCTAGGGAGAATCCCTTTTTCACAACCCTCAGGTTCCCGTTCCCGTCCCCGCCCAGCACCTTTCGCGCTCCTCCCTTCCCTCCCTTCTCGTCAGTTTCCACCCCGCCCCATCGAGTTCAGGCACCGCCCTTTCCCCCGCCCCTTCCGTCTCCCCCTCCCGGCGGCTCTCGCGAGATCATCAGGCGGAAGTCTCGTGCGCTCCGGGGCTAGTGCCGCCGCACGTGCGTGGTCTCTGCGGTTGGTGCCGCCTCCGCTGCCGGGGCTCCGGGTGTGAGAGCCGGCGTCATGGGGAAGCTGCGGCGGCGCCACAACGTCAAAGGGCGGCAGCAGCCGCCGCCGGGGCCCGAGCCTGAGCGGCCGGCGTCCAGGTGCAGCTGGAGCTGGACGGTAAGGGCTCCCTGCGTGGGCCTTCCCTTCTCCGAACCTCGGGTTTTTCCTCCGTAAGTGGGAGCTGCGTTCTCGGAGTGCCTGCTCGTCTCGTGGCCTCAGTTTACTCATCTGTGAAATGGGCACAAAGAAGCTTCCTTCTCTAAATGTCTTCTCCTCTCTGAGTCTTGGTTTACTCAATCATGATTAAGGTTAGGTAAAAAAAGTGAGTCAAAGAATGGCCTGTTTAACTAGCAGCAGCTCACTCATGAAATGGGCATAAAAGAGCTGTGTTCCCTAAGTACCTTCCCCTCTCTGAGCCTCGATTTACTTCTCTGTAAAACGGGCATAGAGGAGCTTCTGTCTCTTCAGTTCTTTCTCTTTTCTGGGCCTCAGTTTACTGATCTGCAAAATGGAGTTAAGGATTCCGTGTTCCCTAAGTCTCATCATTTCTCTGGACCTCAGTTTACTCATCTATGAGGTGGGGATGTAGATAATTTGCCATCTCTCTTGCTTCATTGGGTTGACTGTGTGGAAAATGTTTTGTCTCTTGAAGCCTTAGAGAAATGGGAGGGGTGAGTGAGGACTGTCATTATTATCATTAGCTCCGTGTGACCCTGGACCAGTCACCTCTCTTTGAGCCAGCTTGACATCCTAGTGACCACTTAGATATTTATGTGGCTTTGGGCTGTAGGTTTAATCAGATCTGTCAAAGCAGCTCCTAGAATCACAGATTCTCGGAGTTGGAGGAGACCCTGGCATCTTAGAGGTCATCTATCCAGCCCTGACATTTTACAGATGAGGAAACTGAGGCCAGAGAGGTGGGGCTCACCTTTGTGGAGTCACAAAGCCGGTAAGTGTCAGAGGCCAGATTTTAACTCAGCTCTGTCAGGCCCAAGTTATCCACTGCATTACCCACATAAATACACAAAAGTACCTATTAGTGTGGTGTGTGTGTGTGTGTGTGTGTGTGTGTGTGTGTGTGTGTGTGTGTGTGTGTGTGTGTGTGTGTGTGTGTGTGTGTGTGTGTCTGACTCTCCGTGACTCCATCTGGGGTTTTCTCAGCAAAGATACTGGAGTGGTTTGCCATTTCCCTCTCTAGCTCATTGGACAGATCAGGAAACTGAGGCAAACTGGGGGAAGTAACTTGCCCAGGGTCACACAACTAGTAAGCTTCTGAGGCTGGATTTGAACTCAGGTCTTCCTGACTCCAGGCCCAGCACTCTATCCCCTGAGCTGCTGTGTATATAAATGCACACATACAATATATGTGAGCGTATGTGTGTGTATACATATATACACACACATTTGCATGCATTGCGTAATATATGTAGCTTCATATATAGGTATATATACATACACGCACATATGTATACATACGTACACACACATCTTCATATACACACATATTTAGGTTCAGAAATAAAATCATACAGGGATGGGACAGAGAGATGTATTTAGATAACCATTTGAGTAGAAAAACTGGGATTTTAGGTGTGTGGTGCTGAGTTAAAATCTGGCTTCTGACACTTACTGGTTTTGTGACTCTGGGCACATCACTTAACTTCTGCCTACCTCAGTGTCTTCTGATATAAAATGGGGATAATAGCACCTGCCTCCCAGAATTGTGAGGATCAAATCAGATATTTGTGAAGGGCTTTGCAAACCTTAAGGCACTGTGTCAAGTGCTAATTGTTGTTGTTGTTATTATTATAAAAATGAATGAGGTGCACTAGTGATCTCTAAGGTCACTGTCATGCAACAGAAATATATTAAGCGCCTACTGTGTGCCATGCTAAGTGCTGGCTTCTACAAAAAGAAGCAAAAGACAGCCCCCTGCCCTCAAGCAGCTCTCAGTCTAATGGTGATGCTCATACTTGCCCTGAGAGGCTGCTGTCCTAGAGATGCAGCTGCCTCTTATCACTGGCTTCCTACTTGCTGCAGCTCTTCTGTCCTTCCCAGGGTCCTCTCCACCGTGACCTGCCTTAGGAATTCTCCACTTAGAGCTGGATTTTACGGATGATGGAGGGGCCCAAGGGTAGCTGGGTAGGAGGCATCAGAGGAGGGATTTGAGCAGTGGCTGCTTGAGGCCTCCTCTCAAGGTGACGTGGAACCAGTAATGGCCCCTGGAGCGAGCCCAGCCCTTCAGCCAGTCCCAAGTCCACCTGAGTACATGGTATCTCCGAGCCCGTCTCCTCTTCTTTTCCAGAAGAGTAGCACGAGCTACTCTATCTGAGCCTTTGCCAAAATCTAGGTCAACCCCGGCTCCAGTGTTCCCTTGGTCTCTCCGCCTAATCAGTTGTCCCATCAAAACAAGGAAATAAGATTGTCCTAGTCTGATTGGATAATTGGTTTTCTCATATAAAATCCTTCCCAATATTCACATCTTTGCCATCTGCGTGCTTGGGCTCCCGGGGCAACACCAGACTTTGGCCCTTCCCATTCTGTGCCCGTCCCCGCTGGCCAGGTGGATCCTGAGGCCTTTGTGGGCTTGGAGGATTCAGGCATGGGTGTCCTTCCAGACAGGGACTTGTGGAAAGGAGTGGATGAGAGCAACGCACTTGTCCTGCCGGGACGGAAAGAGAAGAAGAAGAAGGCTGCACCCACTTCCAAGAAGGAGAAGAAGCCCCTGACCAAAAAGGAGAAGAAGCTCCTACAGAAAGTGTTGGAGCAAAAGAAAAAAAAGAGCCAGGTATTTCTCTCTCTCCCCCACTCCCCCAGCTGCCACCTTTAGGGGTGGGGCATCTTTGTGCAGCTCCAAGAATGGGGGCGAGGTGGGCGCCGAGGCCCCTCCAGCCGTGGCCCTACGCAGTCCTTGGAAGTGCTGTAGCAATGGTGGTTGTGGTGGCAGTTTTCATGGCATTCATGTAGAATGGTGCGGGGACAAGTCACTATCCTGCTATGATTCTTTTAATAGTTTATGTTCTGTAGACTGATGCCTAAGGGTATAGAGTAATGGCTTTTCTTAATTGAATGAAAGTATAAAATTGTAATTGAATGAAAAGATAGAAGCCCGTCTTCTGTAGGCTCACTGCCAGCATCTTCTTGACAAGCAGCCGGCAGAATGAGAGGGACCATATTTATTCATCGTTGTATCCCCAATACCTAGCAGGGTGGTTCCCTGTCCTTGGTAGGTGATGAATAAGTCTTTGGGGGAATAAATGAATCAAATGGTCCAGTGAATGAATGAATGAACGAACAAATACTTCCCAAGCTAATGAGTATGAGGCCCTGTTCATGAGCTTGCTCTTGCCTAGGCCTGGCTGTGGTTACCCTGACGTGAGGTCTTGCCTCTGGGAGAAGGTCTGGTGGCTGGCTGCCTGAGCCTCTTCTCCCTGGGGCTGGGGGCTACTAATTCCCCAAAGCCATCTCCCCAGACAGCCTGGGCCCTTATGCCCAGCCGCCTTGCATACCCATCTAGAAGGAGAATCATCCCCAGGCCTGGCTCTCCTGCTTTGTTAGACTGTTTCCCTGACCATCTCTCTGAAGTTTTGCTCTGACATCCTGAGAAAGGACAGTAGCCCTACATGGTTGACCTCCTCATTTCTCTCCCGCCTTTCCTCCAGCGAGCCGAATTACTGCAGAAACTGAGTGAAGTCCAGGCTTCTGAGGCAGAAATGCGGCTTCTGTATACCACCTCCAAACTGGGGACTGGCGAGCGAATGTACTGCAGCAAAAGGTGAGGTATCCTCTGGCCTGGGCCTCCCCCTCCCATTGGGAGGGCCCCTTTGAGGCCACAGTGTGGGATGGCATGCCAATGGCCAGGCTGTAGCTCACCTGGTTGACTTTGTTTGCCGATGCTCAAAGGGAATTGTGTTGGGAAACGCGTGTATATCTGTGATTGTGTGTTTATAGGCAAGTGTATGTATTGGAAATGTATGGATGGATAGTTGTATCACCATACACACACACATATACATATGTGTGTGTACATACATACATACACACACATATATGTAATTACATTTTCCTGCAAATCTGAGAAAAGCTTCAGGGCTGATGAAAAGAATGCTGGTCTTGGACTCAGGAGAGATTGGGTTTGAGTTCTGCCAGTGGCCCTTACTAACTGTGTGACCCTAGGAAAGCCGCTTCATCTTTTATCTTCTCACGAGCCTCAGTTTCCTCATTATGGGTCATCTTTATCTTGTTTCCTTAAGGTTTACAAAGCACTTTCCTTGTGTTCCTTCCTTTTGAATCTCACAACAACCTTGTGAGTAGGTGCTCTGCATTTTACAGAGGAGGAGAGGCCCAGTACCTGCCGCAAATTAGGAGCTTAATAAATGTCTGTTGATTAGAAAGGCCACGGGACTTAGTAGCATTTTTGTAGTGCTTTCAAGCTTACAAAGTGCTTCACAAGTATTTCATTTGATCCTCACAATAATCCCACGTGTCCTGTTTTACAGTTGAGGAAACTGAAGCAAACAGAGGTGAAGTGGTTTACACAGCTAGTAAGTGTCAGAAGCTGGATTTGAACTCAGGTCTTCCTGGCTTCAGGCCCAGTGCTCTCACCACTGTGCCACCAGCTGCCTTGTCCAGAGTGACACAGAGAGCCTGAAGCAGGATTCAGGCCAGTGTTTCCTGACTCCCAGCCTGACACTTTACCCAGCATTACTACCTGTTGTCGGGCAATAATCCATGTCAGTTATTTTTATAAAATAGTAATAATTTACTTTGATCATTACTAATGATATGAATACAATGAATAATTTTATTATTAAGAATAACTGTAACCTTTTCTTAACTTCTGCATAAATGGTGTTTCTGGGGACAAATGTGTATGCCCTGTTGAGATGTTAGCGGTGGGCAAGAAGAAATAAAAGGAGGCTGAAGAGATTTGCCATCCAGGCAGCACAGCCTGTAGTGGAGAGGTCCAGGAAGACCTGGGTTCAGTGGTGCCTCAGACGTTTGCCAGTGGGGTGACTCCCAGACACGTCACTTAATCTCTCTCAGCCTCAGTTTCCTCATCTGTAAGACGAGGGTTGGCCTTGAGCTTTGGGCTCCCTGCCAGCTCTGAATCTAATGTCCTGTGATCCCATGCCCTGTGCCTTGTGTGTTGGGGGGGGTGTTGGCCTAGGGTACATGGAGGAGGAATGGGGGGGAGGGATGTTTTGGTGGTAGTCCTGGTCACGTAACTGCAGGGCCAGTCACTGACTCCCGTACTAGAGAATCCCAGTATATTGACCACACAGCTAGTATTGTCCAAGGCAAGATTCGAATTCAGTTCTTTCTGACTCCCAAGCCTACCTGGGTCTGTTGCTTGATCCCTGTGATTTATCTGCTTGCCCCTCCAGGAAGGCAGAAGAGACTGGACCTGGGGCTCTGGAGAAGATTAGTAGCCTCAGTGGTGCTCACAGAAAAAGACGAAGGCCGCCGTTAGAAGAGGAGGCTGAGTCCTCCAGCGAGGCTGAGACAGGGAGCGAGGCCGAGGGCTCAGAAGCCCCGGCACCAACTGGAGTTGGTGCAGAGGCGGAGATGCCGGCGGCCATGAAGCCTGCCGAGCCCCTCACTGAAGACAAGAGCTCTCCCTCCGGCCGCCAACCGGCCCCCGCACTGGCACCTCCTCCCCCCGCCCGCCAAGCGCTGTCGGTAAAGCCGGCCATCTTCGTCCCGGTGGACCGGTCTGCCGAGATCCAGGTTGGTCTCTGCTCGTTCCTGGCTTCTGCTCTGAAATGAATGCAGTGGATTAGATGACCTGGAAGGTCATTATCAAGCTAGTGCTCCGATGCTGCTTGGAAACCATCTTGGTGACGGTTATGGTGCTGGTTCATGTGGCGCTTGAAGGTTTGCAAAGCCCTTCACAGGTTATCTCTTCTGATCTTCACAGCCACTCTGCAGAGTAGGGGCTGTTGGTCTTCTTTCACAGATGGGGAAACTGAGGCTGAAGCCTTGCCCCAGCAGCTGTAAGTGTCCCAGGCAGGATTCAAACTCAAGTCTTTGTGACTCCCAGGTTCAGCTGGCTTTCCACCATATTTATTAAAGGCTTACATGTAGACCCTTAATAAATGACTGTTGACCAGACTTGGATGGAATTGGATCGAGAGTGATCAGAGCTAGTCTATTCCAAGAGAACGTGCCTTCATGGGGAAAGGAGAGGAGCTGTGCTCTGCTGTCTAGAAATAAGAAAGCAGAGGTGCATTTAGATCACTTTGTGGCCAAGTCTGGATTCTTCCCATGAGTCCTTGGCTTTGTCAGTTCCCCAGAATCCACAGCCCTTTACACTGGCCATCTCATCTCTTTTTTTCCTTCTGGTGTTACCCCATGATGTGGGTCCCCCAGTACTTTGTTATCACTATTTTATGCCAAAGCGGTAGGCTCAGAGATGAGGTGATCTATTCATAGTCACTGGGCTGACGAGTGTCACAGCAGGATCCTGGAGCCCCAGAATTTCACTTATGGACGAGACCTAGGTAGATGGATGATATAGATGCACACACACAGCCATTGGAGAGACTCAGTCTTGGAAGACCAATCTGTATCTTAAATGACAGAAGTTCAGATGATTGAAGAAAGCTGTCATGTTCCCCCTGAGCCTTCTCTCCTCCATATTAACATCCCAAATACCTTCAGACCTTACATGGCCTAAACGACGTCCCCTTTGCTATACTGGTTGCCCTCGTTGGGACGCTACAGTTTATCAATGTCCAATGGAGTGCCCAGAGCTGAGTACAGTACTCTAGATGCGGTTTGACCATGTAAAGTGAAAATGGACCACCACCTCCTAGAAACTGGGGCCCTCTTTTTTTTTTTATCATGGATTTTAATAGTCAAAACGATGCAATTTCGTGCGTACATACACATTAACACTGCAGCCTCTCTAAAGAAAGTGCTAAGGGAGATAAAAAGTTGAGAAATACCCAGGTAAGCAATCTTCCAGGAACTGGAGTGCTGGACTAATATTTTTGTCTTTTGACCTCAACCCCATCAGCCTCCATTTTTTTTCTTTTCTTAATAATTGCACTGATCTTTTTCCACTGTCAATCAAGCTTTGCATTGTCATTTGTTTCTTTCAAACATCTGGTTTTCCGACCTTCTGACACATCTTGATGCCATACTAGAATGCATCTTCAGGCAGAGCTTCTTTGTTCATATGCTCACCATGCTCTTCCATCGACCCAGCGGTCTCTTCTTGTCACCCTGGTCCGTTTTGCTGTAGTCCACCGCCTCATCACCCTTTCCAGGCAGCAGAACCAGCAGACTTTCACTGATGGACTTCATCGACTCCTTGGCAGATCCAGGCCCTTTGTCAGTGTCGGTGGGCTTATCATCCACCGTGGGCTTCTGTGTTGCTGCTTCTCCTCCTCTCTTTCCTGATCCCTGCTTCTTTCTCGGTCTTGCTCTTAGCCCCATTCTCCTTCTCTTTTCCATTCTTGGTCTCGGTCCCAATCTTGCTGCATTCATGAGATTGTTCCTGTTCTTTTCCCCTTGGAATCTTAGTTGTTGATGGCACCTCTTAATTGATGTACCCTAAGAATCTAATGAGATAAAATTTAGTGGGAATACCCACTGGTGGGTCTATTATAGAGGAATGGGTTGAATTTTTTTTAACTTTTCAAAAAATATATATTTTTTGTGTTAAATATTTGCCAATTACACAAATTTTTTTTAAGGCAATTGGGGTTAAGTGACTTGCCCAGGGTCACACAGCTAGTAAGTGTCAAGTGTTTGGTCTGAGGCTGGATTTGAACTCAGATCCTCCTGACTTTAGGGTGGTGCTCTATCCACTGCGCCACCTAGCTGCCCTCACAAAAAAATTTTTAACATTCATTTTTTAAAAGTTTGATTTCCAGATTCCATGTTCCAAATTCCAAATGCCTGTTCATATCCTTTGACTTTTTTATCCATTGGGCAGTGATTCATATTTTTATAAATTTAGCTCTGTTCCCTATAGATTTGAAAAGTCAGGCCTTTATCAGAGAAACTTTCTGTAAATATTTCCCCCCATTTTCCTACTTTCCTTCTGATTTAGGCTACATTGGTTTTGTTTGTGCAAAACCCTTTTAATTTCAAGGAATCAAAATTACCATTTTACTTCATGTGATCCTCTCAATCTCTTGTTTGGTTATAAACTCTTCTCTTATTCATAAATTTGACAGGTAAATTTTTCCCTGCTCCCCTAATTTACTTATGATATCATCCTTTAACATCCAAATCATTTACCAGAATGGGTTGAATTTGAATTAGATGGATGACCAGGTTCCCTCCAGTTCTGAAATTCCGTTTTCTCTCCAACTAGTCATTGAGGTGACCAGTAATAGAAATACCAAGGCCTATGTCTGGGAGTTCCTAGAGGAGTGGCTAATAGTCTTGCTTCATTTTTAGGGGAAAAAATTGTGATATTCTGCAAAATAAGTAAAGAAAGAAAATAAATAATATTTTTGCAAAATAGATTTTACTTTCTCGTTTACATCTGTAATTTCAGAACAACTCTGTCTTGGTTTCTGATTGATCTTTAGCTATAGCTTCCAACACTGTATCCCTAAGGTCAAAGAAGGTAGAGGTCATCTATGCCAACACCCTCATTTATATATGAGGAAACTGGACTTCAGGGGAAGTGAATGACAGAGGCAGGATTTTAACTCAGGTCCTCTGGTTCCAAAGCCAGTACCATGCTTCCTGCTTACCCTGTCTGCCAGTGGCATCCCTGTTTACAGATTAAAGCGTCCTTTCTCAACGCAAAAGATTGCCCTTTGATTTGTCTGCTTTACAAACTCAGATTCAGCAATCTGGTGTGTCTTGCTTTTCTTAAAGTGGGGGCCTGCCTTTACTGTTTAGGTCCTGGTTTGGGAAACTTCAGTTGGGGTGGGATGTTTTCAGAGGCCTTATCTCTGATGTTGGCATATTATGCGCCCTTGCTCAGGAGAAGAACCCGAGAGAGCCAGTGTAGTATAAGAGCAGAGTAGGAGACAGTGTGGCTCAGTGGGTAGGCAAGTGAATGTGGAGTCAGGAAAATTTTAGATAATGAAGGACTGTGTGACCCTGGGAATGTCACCTAATTTCTCTGGGCCCCAGTTTCCTCATCTGTCAAATGAGGGGATTTGCCCCATTGGCTTCTAGAGTTCTCTCTGGTATAAATATATGATCCTATGACATTCATGTGCCTTGGTTTTGTCATCTTCAAAGTGGGGGTGGGAGGGGGTAGACCTAGTGGCCTCTGAGAACCCTTCCAGCTCTGAATCAGTGCTTCTGAAGCCCCGTGAGTCTAGATTTTGATGCTATTGTTTCTTTTTTAGGAAGCCCGGCTCAAGCTCCCCATTCTTTCAGAAGAGCAAGTGATCATGGAGGCTGTTGCTGAGAACCCCACTGTCATCGTATGTGGGGAGACAGGGAGTGGCAAGACTACTCAGGTGCCCCAGTTTCTGTATGAAGCTGGCTATAGCAGGTGTGTGCCAGATGACACTCTCCCAGGGCATCCCCTGCCCTAGCTTCTCAGGTTCCAACATGACCATTAGAAGTATTCCCAGAGCTGGATTCTCCCTTTTGAAGTCTTTCCTTCGTTGTAGACACATTTGCACAAAGAGGATTTGCTCCTGGGTGGGACCCAGGGATCCCAGCTTCCTGGGTCCTTGCTACGGAGGGTTTAGTGGGTAAGGCTTAAGGTGTGGGGAGAAGGGAACCATGGCAGAGGTAGCTGCTTGATGCCCACTCCAGAGAAAGTTGGGTCTGGGCAGCCTCAGCATCACACCATCTTCCCAGGCCTCCTGGCATGGAGGGGCATCGGGTTCTCAAGGGCTGGGTCAATGGATGGTTGGCTCTGGTAGATTCCACCTAGCTAAAGAGACTTAGAGGACAGGCCTAGCCCTGCAATAAAGGTCGCCTTGCCAAGTTCAGAGAGGCTCACCTCCAAAGGAGGCTTCCCCAGGATGAAGTTTTCTGGCTCCCCCAAGCTTACGAAGACTCTTTACCAGGGCATAGACAGGTTAGGGTAACCTGTGTCTGTGCAAGGAGGGCTCCTATAGTTCATTGGAGGTTTCAAAGAAGCAAAATTGTCGTAAGTTCTCTGGAATTTGTGCCCTGACTCAGAAATGGTATGTTGGGGGGGAGAGGAGATTAGCACTTCATAATTGTTATCATTTGATCCTCACAACAACCCTGGGAGGTAGGTGCAATTATTATATCCCTGTTTTAAATGTGGATAAACTGAGGCAGACAGAAGAAAAGTGGCTTTCCCAGGGTTACCCAGCTAGTAAGTGTCTAAGGCTGGATTTGAACTCGGGTCTTTCTGACTCTAGGCCTAGCGCTCTCTGCACAGTGGCGCCACCAGCCGTCTCAGCTAGTTCTGAGCTGCTGCATAATGAGGGGCAGCTGTAGCTCCCATCAGAAAGTAGGCTTCGTGAGGACAGGAGCTCTTGCCTTTCTTTGTATCTCTGTTGCTTAGCATGGTGTGAGATTCATAAATGAATGTTGTAGCACGATCAGACAAATTGAAAGAATCTGATATAACAAACGTCTAGGTTTTACATAACTTTTTCTTGTTCTTTGTTTTCACATCCCCTTTATTTCCCTCCATATTTCTCTCCTCTAATTATGGGGGTTTTTTTTAGAGCCATTTTTTTACAGGTACTTGGAGGGGTTTGGGAGAGAGCTCAAGCAAGTCACTGCTTTTTCAATTGTTTTATTTTAAAAGGGGAAGGCAAAATAGTTCTGCAGAACCAAACCAATATATCACAAAATCTGACATTATATGCAGTGTTCCACACCCATGGTCCCTCACTTCTGCAAAGAAGGAGGGCAGGGATCTTTTCATATTCCTTTGGGAGGCCAACCTCGGCCAATAGAAGGAGCTGCTGTGTACAAAGTACTACTCTAGGTGCTGGGGATACAGAAACAAAAAGAAAACGGGCCCTAGTGACCAGATAAGGAAATCCATATGAATTTGTGGAAGTTGAGATCGTTAACTACTGGGGATCGGGTGGAGGCTTCCCAGAGGAGGTATCACCTAAGCAGAGCTTGAAGGAAGGCTTCTGAGAGGCAGAGGTGAGACGTGACAGCATTCCGGGCATGGAAAATGTTCAGAAGGCTGGTAGAGCAGGCTGGACCCAGGGAGCGAGGGGCTTGAAAGAAGCCACATCCCTTCCTGTGTTTAGAAAGTCAGCTACTTTGTGAGTCTCAGCTGGGTCCCAAAATAGTGATTATCAGAAGCATCTGTGTTTCTGTTTTCCACTGAGAAATTCTTATAACTGCTTTAGGCCAGTCCTAGCACGGCATGGTGGAAAGAATGCTGAATTTCCAGTCACAAGTCCTGCATTTGAATCCTGGCTCTGCCACCTACTTAACCTGTGTGACCTTGGGTGTCAGCTAACCTCTCTGGGCCTCACTGTCCTCATCTTGGGAATGAGGGAGGCTGGATTCAGTGACCTCTAAGGTTTCTTTTTTTTTCCCCTAAGGTTTCTTAATGGAAATGTATGATTTATATTATATGAACATTATATATGATATGCTCAAAATATGTCATCCTGTGTAACAGCTCCTTGAGGTATATTGGCATTTATATGCCTCAGCCATCTGCCCAGGAGAAAAGCCATTCATGTTGTATTCCATTCAGTGAACATTTATTAAGTGCCTATTTAGGAGGCACCATAGGGGACTCTGGGGCCACAAAAACCATATGGGAACAGTCCCTGGCCTCCCCTTCTAATTCTTTAAGCCATAATGGCTTCTACGAAATCCCTGTTTGGGGCAGAGTGTCAGGAGTTCTCCTCAGACCTGGTGATTGGGTAAATGAGGTTTCTGGGAATTTCTTCTTGGAAAAGCACTTAGGAAAAAAAAAGCACTTAGGTTATTAATGTCCAACCAGAGTTTCATGCTCACTTGGTCATGGTGCTAGGTTGATTCTTGGTTGTGGCATCCTTTCCTGACAGAGTCTGGATCTAGCTGAGGAATAAGGACGTACGCTTTTGAGACAGAGGTAAGCCCCTGGTTTCCATACACTCAGTGTATTATGGTTTGCTTTCTCTCTGGTTGTCATGGAGTACTGTCTTCAAGCAGAATGTAAGCTTCTTGAGGGCAAAGAGATGTTTTAGTTTTTGTCTTTGTATTCCTAGCACCTAGCTCAGTGCTTGGCACACAGTAGGCACTTAATAATTGCATCTTGGAATGAATCGAATGGAGCAAATACTTCTGTGTTCCTTTTTCCCAGTGGGTCACTTAGGCCGTGGCTTTTTTACACAATCTCCTCTAGATTATCTGCACTGATGAGAGAGAATAGGGCCTGGATCATCTGTCTGTAAATGCATCCTTCTTTTGTTCAACGTCTTGTCTCTCAATTCTTGGGTCTCGCTTTGTTGGGCTGATGATAAACCAGGTCTCCATTCTGTAGTCATGTGCCAGTCTGGGGAGGGGAGAAGAGGGCTGCATGAGTATACATTGACTCCTCTACCAGAATGTAAGCTCTTTGAGGACAGGGACCGTGTCGTTTTTGTTTCTGTATCCCAGTGCCTGGCATGTAGTCGGCACTGGGTAAATGCTTGTTTCTTGATTGATTGGGAGGCAAAGAAAGCCCTCCTGGGGTCTCTCATTTGCCCTAGCTATGCCGCGTGTGGATAGTGGAGATGGCTATGTGTTGTATCATTTGTGGGACACTCGCTGTGTTTGCTGAAGAGGAGCCACCAGCCTAGAACTAATTCTTTCCCTTTCTCTGAGCAGCGATGGCCTCATCGGGATCACTGAGCCTCGCCGAGTGGCCGCCCTGGCCATGTCCCAGCGGGTGGCCAAGGAGATGAGCCTTTCCCAAAGGTGAGAGGGAAAGCTCGGGTCCTTCCTGGCCTTGCAGGAGCAGTGGGGTCGGGGCTGAGCACTAGGGGGAAGGAGACCAGAACTTGGTTCCTTTGTATCCCTTTTCTATCATGACAGAAGTTAGGAAGCTGTCTGTAGTTCAAGGCCTGACCAAGTGCACGTCTCTGGGCTCAACACTTGGCTAGGCCCCTGGCAGGAGTCACAGAATTCCATAGTCCAGCCTGTAGCGTGCCAGGATGCCCCAGCAAGTAATTTAGCAGCCAGGAAAGCTGCATTAACTGAGGCATAACAGCTTGGAACGAGGAGGCAGTAGTCTCACCAGGCACTCAAGCCACATTGCTAGGATGGCGTCCAGATCTGGGTCCACAGTTTAGAAAAGGCTTTGTGGAGCAGTTGTGCCTCTAGAGAAGAACAACCAGATGGTGAAGGGCCAGGGGCGTTTGGCCAAGAGAAGGGAAGGAGGCAGGATGGGAAGGTGGAGGGCGGAGGTGGCTAAGGGCTGTCATGTGACAGACTGCATGAGCCATGAGGCCAGGGGAGCGGAGTCCACTTCCGAGTTTCAGAATTGCCTGGGTCCTTAGAGCCCGTCTGTCCAGGTGAAGCCCGGAATGAGAATCCCCATCACAGCACATCCACTGAGCGGTGCTTCAGCCTCTGCCTGAAGATGCCCAGCAGGCAGGGAGCCTGTTCTGCCTGGGGCGGCACCTGCCCTCAAAGGGTGGACAGTCTGTTGGGGGAGGTATGGGACAGGCAGGCCTGAAGCTAGGGAAAATGACAGAACAATGTGGAAGTGAGAAAAGCAGCCGGGATTGGTAGGCAGTGACCTAGGGCTTCTGGGAGAGGATTTTTGAGCGGGGCTTGGGGGAGCTGAAGAGCTCTGGCGTCAGGGTCTGAGGGGCTCAGGGCACCCCTCCCCCTGAACTCTGGCTGTTTCTTTGCCCCGTGGGATGTGCTGCGTAGTGAGTTCGAGTGTTTCCCACACAGGGTGGTTTCCTACCAAATCCGATACGAAGGCAGTGTGACAGAGGACACCCAAATCAAGTTCATGACAGACGGAGTCTTGCTCCGAGAGATCCAGAAGGTAGGCCTCTCACCATCCATTCCGACTCCTGGCTGAGTGATCATTCACATTTCTGCTTTGAGGCTCACAGAGTTCTTTCCTGGTATACATGTTGTCTCCTCCCAGTGGAACATAAGCTTCCTGAGGGCAGGGGATGTTGGGGGCTTTTGTCTTTGTGCTGTCTGTGCCAAAAGCAGTGCTCAGCACACATTAGGCATTTAATAAATGCTTGTTAAATTGAATTGTTGAAATTCTAAGGGGAGAGCTCTGTGTGGGGAGGGGGAATTGCTTGGGGGTGGGGGGATATTGTACCCAAGGAGGTGCTTCTTGGTTGCTGCCCATGGGAATTCTGTCTTTCAGAAAGAAGGTGTTGCTGTGTGACCCTGGGCAAGTCACATAACCTTGATTGACTCACCAAACCCCCCCCAAAAAAAAACAGAAAGAAGGTGTTAACTCTTCTCACTTTAGGTGGAGTGTGGTTTTTTTTTGGGGGGGGGTTCATGAATGACCAGCAGCTCCTAGCATGGTTGTATGGGTACAGAGTTCTTTGACATAGAATTATTCCTGGGTTCTAGAGCCCAGGTTTGGTTTGGAGGCATGAATGTGTGCTTGGCTGAGATCCTGGTTGCCTCCTCCATTCTGAGCACCAGATTCCGGCCGTGGACGTCTTGCCATATATTGAAGGCTGTTGCCTGCCATCAGTATCCAGCCCTGCAACCCTTGTACTGTTCTTCATCCTGGCCTTAACGTGAACCACCAGGGGGCATAGCGGGAAGGTCAGGAGCCCCAGGGTTCAAACCCCACTGCTGGCCCTTACAGTACTAGCTGTGTGATGCTGAGCAAATCACTTGACCTCTCTCTGAGCCCCAGTTTCCTCATCTGTAAAATGGGCACATTGATGTCCGTATTACCGACTTCCCACGATTGTGAAAGCTCAGATGAGGCGTTGGATAGAAAACACTTCAAAAATTTCAGAGCACTGTAGAAATGGTCATGCTTTTAAGTCAGTATTATTATCAGTATTATTAATATCAGGTACAGTGGTGTGGGGGGGAGACAGACCACCTGTTCTCATGGTCCTCCGAGGACAGCTCTATCTAACTCTGGGTCCTCAGCAGAGCAGGAGGCCTCAGCTTCGCCCCATGGGCATTTCACCCCAGCGGAAAGGTGGGATGGATTTCAATTTCACAAGACGAAGAGGCTGGCCCGGAGGCCTGTGTTTGAGCCCATCAGTACTGTACAAAATGGGAAGGAGCCTTTCTGCTCCACATGTAGGTCACGGACTCATGGGAAAGGACCAGAGAGGCCTTCGTGTCCAGTCCCCTCATTTTATGGAGGAAGAAACGGAGGCACAGAGGTTCCTTGCCCAGGGTCACACGGCTGCTGTTGGAGGTGGAAGTTGAACCCAGGGCAGAATGTGTGCGATGATCCCCCTTTGAGAAGGTGCTGTTCTCATTTCAAATGTTTATTATCAATTTATTGTGAAATCAAATTTTATTTCAGTAAATTTTAGTCCTCACACTTTATAGTTTGGATGAAGCAGTTACTGTGCATGCAGCACTGGGCATGTTTGTTGTTGTTCAGACATTCAGTTGTGTCCGATTCTTCGTGACGCCGAACACGCCAATACTGTCCATAGGGTTTTCTTGGCAAAGACCCTGGAGTGGGTGGCCATTTCCTTCTCCAGGGGATTAAGGCAAACAGAGGTCAGGTGACTTGCCCAGGGTCACACGGCTAGTACGTGTCTGAGGCCAGATTTGAACTCGGGTCTTCCTGACTCTAGGCCCTGTGCTCTATCCATGGACCCACCTGCCTCCAGCCTGACACATAGATGGTGGTTAATAAATGCTTGTTGCTTGACTGATCGATCAGTGATCAGCCAGGTATGGCGCAGTGGCTCATCACTGAACTGGGAAGATGGCGTCAGGGCCAGTGGGAGGAGGGCCTCCCTGCCCACAGAGCTCATGCTCCCTTGAATGTTTTGTCTTCCATTTCTCCTGTAGGACTTCTTACTTTCCAAGTACAAAGTGGTCATCATCGATGAGGCCCATGAGAGAAGCGTCTACACGGACATTCTGATTGGCCTCTTGTCGAGGATCGTGTCTCTTCGGGCAAAGGTATGAGCGCCAGGACAGGGCAGGGGAGGAGAAGCTGCTGCTCCTAGCGCCTCTCCTCCCGGGGCTTTCTGAGGGCCTCCTTCCTACAGTAAGAGGCAGGCATTCAGGTGATGCTTCAGAGCTCACCCAGCGCTTTACTTTCAGCATCCAGGTTTGGTTTGGCTTTTCTTTATCTGATAAGCAGCATGCATTGCACAGTGAATAGAGAGTAGGCCTCAGAGTTAGGAAGACCTAGGTTCATGTGCTGCATCTGGCCCGCCCAGGCTGCGTGACCCTGGACACTGAGCCTTCAGTCGTAGGTCACGGGATCTGCGATTTGGAGCTGGGAAACCGTGGGGGCCATCAGGTTCCCCTCCCTCATTTTATGGAGGAAACAGGCCCAGTGGTTTAAGTGACATGCTGGTGTCTGACGCCGGATTTGAACTCAGGTTTGTTTGGTTTTTTTACTCCAAGCCCAGCACCACTCTGTGTGTTATGCTGGACTGCCATTCTAGCTCCAGAAGCTGTAAGGGACCTTATTTTACAGAAGAGAAAACTGAGGCCCAATGAGTATTTGAGGCAGAACCCAGGTCTACTGACTCCAGAACAGTTTTGGTTTTTTTTTTTTGGTTTTGGTTTTTGCTAGGCAGTGGGGTTAAGTGACTTGCCCAGGGTCATACAGCTAGTAAGTGCTATGTGTCTGAGGCTGGATCTGAACTCAGGTCCTCCCGAATCCAGGGCCGGTGCTCTATCCACTGCTCCACCTAGCTGCCCCTCCAGAACAGTTTTTTAAAAGAATCATCAGTGGCTTTGGTCCTTCACAGCAGTCATTGCTTGGTATCAGGTGTCTGTCCTCCTGCTGCCCCCATCCCCCATTCAGATCTTTCTTTGTGACAAAGAAAAACAGTTTAAACACAAGCAGCAGTGTTTGCAGCCTTCTTCTCCTGTAGACCCCCCCTGCCCACACCCAAGAGGATGGAAGCATTGCAGTTAAGAGCCATGTTTATTAAAAACCTAGCAGTCATCAATAGAAAATGTACAAACAGAGAAAATAAGAAACAAAGTCCCCGAAAACCATCACTGTAAAGTATTTACAGTTGGCCAAAAGTGGGGGAAAGGTAGCCTTTCCCTGGCTCATGAGATTTGGTTTTGGTTTTCCGTTTCTCGGTGAAGATGACATACTTACACGTGGAGAACACATGGCCACGTTTTTCAGTCACTGTCCCCATGTTGGTGTTTGCTCCCCTGCTTTCTCTTGACTCCTCATTCTGCGTCTGTTGGATTCAGCCAGCCCTTCTCGAGGGCCCCTGTGGGCAGAGCCCTGCATTGGGTCCTCTGGGGGGATGGTCTTTCATTGCCCCCTCCTGACTCGATGGTTAGCTGGAGGTGGACGATGGCTTCCCCCCACACATTCAGAGTCCTTTGTTCAGGGTGTGAGTTTCTGATTCCAGCACTAGGCAGGAATGCCTGGTCCTGAACCAGTGGAGCCTCGCAGTTGCTTGTAAGGAAGCCATTTGTCTCGGGCCTGGCAGGATTTCCCCTCGTTCCCCTCTTGACTCCTTTGCAGTGCACGGAAGCCTGAGAAAGCAAGGGCCGCTGGCCAGTGGAGGAAAGCCCTTTGTAGACTTGCTGCCTCCTTGCTTTATAAGCTTTATGAAGAAGATAGAAAACTGTGTTCTAGCCAGCTCCTCCACAGCCACAGCGGAGGGTGGGATCCCTGTGGGGATTTGGGAATATCTGCATTTCTTAAACCATTTCTAGAGGAGTGAACTAAAAGCAGCTATTGAGCACTTACTGTATGCCAGGCTCTGGGCTAGGGATACAAATACAGAAGCAAAAACAGCCCCTGCCCTCAAGAAGCTTACCGCATTTTTAAACTAGAGATTTTCGTTTGTATGTTTTCTTTTCGTATTGACTAGTTCTCCTCTTGGGTCCCTTCCCCAAAGAGCCATTCCTTATCACAGATCATTTTTTGAGAGAGAGAGAGAGAAATTCAGCAAAGCCAAACAGCTCGTCAAGGAGCTGACGTTATATGCAGTGTTCACATCTGGGAGTGGGGGCTGCCCCTGTGCGAGGGAGCGGCGGGAAGAGTCTGCGCGCGTATCTCCTTCTTGAGGCCCCCCGGCCTTCACTTTGCATCAGTTCAAATACGTCTTCCAACACTTCTCTGTATTCCTAAGGAGTTTACATTCTAATGGGTGCAGCCAACCCCTAGAGGAAAATGGTGGCTGCTGGGTAGGGACGGGGTCTTTCTGTTTGGGAAGCCACAGGGGCATTCCTTCCATTTTACTCCTAGAATGGGACAGTGGGATGGGAGAGGAAGGCTTGAGGAACGTGACAGCTGGTTGCCAGGAAAGAATCCTGCCAGGGAAGAGAGTGCAGCCTGGCTGAGTGTGAATTAGAGCTCCATGAAGTCCTCCCTAATCAGGAGGGTGGGCCCCAGAGATCTCCAGAGAGCTGGAGGGGTGTGGTCTCTGGTCTAGGTGGCAAGACTGGCTGCCTATCCAAGAGACAGCTGCTGAGTAAAGGCTGGTGGTTGGAACAAAGCTGAACCTCTTGGTTGTCTGTTCCTAGAATCCTGGGTTCAAGTCTTGTTACTGGTGCATACTGGCCCTGTGTCTCTGGGAAAGTGACTTCACCTCTCTGTGCTAAGGCTATAAATTGTAGAGGAAATGGCAACCTTCATTGGCAGAGAGTTTCCTCATCTAGACTTGCTCACCTCAGTGAAGTCACTGGTCCAACCCTCATTTGCCTTCCATGGACCCATAAACATTTGCTGACTGTACATTGAGGACCAGCTTCCCAAAGCCTGACCAGGCCCCCCTTACTCACTCATTCGCGTGCCCCGGTGCTAGCCCCAGTGTGACTGTGGTGGGTCTGTGTCTCTGCAGAAGCAGCAGCCCCTGAAACTGCTCATCATGTCAGCCACACTCCGCGTGGAGGACTTCACCCAGAACTCCCGGCTCTTCTCAGTGCCTCCCCCTGTTGTAAAGGTAAGCCTCCTCCTCTGTGTCAATATTCGTGGTGGGCCCTGCTCTGGGGGGGAGGGACAGGAGGGGCCTGTCCTGGACAGGGAGGAAGCGGGGGAGGGCCTGAGGTTGGAGCCCCTGGAACATTCCATTCTGACCATCCAGGAAAAACTGGGGTTTGTTTGCATTTGATATGGCTGAGCCTGGGCAAGATGCTTAGGCCCAACCTCTCTGGGCCTCAGTTTCTTCATCTGTAAAATGAGGGAGTTTACCTTGATGACCTTTAGGGTCCTTTCAGCTCATAAATCCGTGTTCCCATGACCTTTCCTTGGTAGTAAGTTGAAAGGCCAGAGAAACATGCGTTACAATCCGCACTGCTGTCTGGAGAGGGCGGGGACCTCAGAGCTTGCCTGCTCTGCCATGTGCAAGGATCCTTGCCAAGTGGCCACGCGGCTTCTACTGGGAGACCTCCAGTATTGGGGGACCTTCTGACACTGCCCGGCCACGTGGGTCTGTGGCCTCACAACGCCTGCTGGTTGTTGTTGTTAGGTGGACGCCAGGCAGTTCCCCGTGACCGTACACTTTAACAAGAGGACGCCGCTCCATGACTATAGTGGCGAGTGCTTCCGGAAAGTTTGTAAGATCCACCGAATGTTACCTCCAGGTGAGGCAGCCAGCCCTTGCTTTCAGCCTGCACAGTCGTCTTCATTTCTTTTGAAGCTGCTGCAGTACTAGAGAAGGGTTGGGAAGGCCGGTTTTGTCGCTGGGTAGCTCTGTGACTACAGACACATCACTCACCCTCAGTTCCTTGAAGCACAAAGTGCCTTTCCCTGCACCTCACTTTTCTCTGCTGTAAAAGGGGGATGAGGGCGCACACCCTACGTGCTCTGTTAGATTCTCAGAACCTTAAGGGTCTTCTCAACCGATCTGTACCTGAGTAAGAATTCCCTTCTAGAAGACTTCTGGGAGGGCAGCGAGGTGGCACAGTGGATAGAGCACTGACCTTGGAGTCAGGAGGACCTGAGTTCAATCCAGTCTCAGGCATTTACTAGCTGTGTGACCCTGGGCAAGTCACTTAACCTCAGTTACCTCAAAAAAAAAAAGAAAAAAAGAGACCTCTAGTGAGGGGGAGTCCCGACCTCTGCTTTGGGGCAGCGCTGCTGTGCCAGGCTTAGATTTACGTTGGTGACTCTTCCCTCCATGGCTCCTAGTTACGTCCTCTTTGACCAAACAGTCCATTTAATCCCTCTTAAGGGGGAGGCCATTCAGATACGTGAGCTGTCCCGTTCCCCCCATCCCTGAATGTTCTCTCCAGCCATGAAACGGAAGGGGTAAAAGCTCTTGGGAAAGGACCTTGCCTGGCACCAGCTGAGCTTGTGTCTTATGGCCTCACGACTTTGAGATCATCAGCTCCTGGTCCTCTTTCCCCCAGGAGGTATTTTGGTGTTCCTGACGGGACAGGCCGAGGTGCACTCGCTCTGCCGAAGACTCCGGAGGGCCTTCCCATGCCTTAGAGGCAGTGCCAGAGGTACACCAGCTGCCGGGATGCCTGGGCTCATTAAGTGAGCTAAGGGATGGGAGGAGAGAGCAGCTCTGCCTCGGGTGCCCTTCGGATCATTGGTGTGGGCTCCAGTGGACACTGGGGCACAAGGCATTTGTTCCCAGCTTGTGCCGGGGGGCTGGGGGGGGGGAACAGGGGGTAGGGGAAGGGCATGGAAGTCTACCTAGCTCATTGAGGAACGTGCTAAGAAATCCACCTCAGGTTCACTTTTTTTTTTTAAAGGAACAGAAGTAAAGGTGGATTCCGTAGAAGAGATGAGAAAATTCAAGAAGTCCCGAGGCAAGAAGGGCCCTGTGGTATGTTGGCAGCTCTGGAGGCAGTCAGGGTGGGACCTGGGCTGTGCCTCCTTGGAGTCCCCACTCTCCGCCTCGAGGTTGTCTGGAGGCCCCTTCCCCAGGCACCGCTTCTCTGTGCCCTTGGCCTGCCCATGCAGCCTCAGGGGGGAGACCTTTCTCCAATGTGAAAAGCAAGACCTGTCCTGGGACTTTGTGCTGAGCCTTGGGCAGGAGCCTCGGCCTTTCCTTGGCCTAGACTTAACTGAGATGTGCCCTGGGGCTGCTCGTGTAACTCCGGGCCCCTGAAGCCAAAGTACCATGTCTAGCTCTTTCTCCTTGCTGCTTATACCTTCTGGATGGGCCCCTTCTCCAGCTTCATTCCATTCAGTTCATTTCACCAAACAACATGGTCCAGTAGAAGAAGCTCAGACTCTGTATGTGGAGGGTCCCGTGTTCAGCTCCCACCCCTGACACTTAATACCTTTGTAACCTTGTTTGAATCACTTAATCTTTGTGGGCCTCAGTTTCCTCTTCTGTAAAATGAGGGGAGGTTATCCTAGAATCCCTAGATGGCCCCTGGGGCTCCCGCTCCAGATCTCTGATTCTCTAGACGGCCTACTATGTGTTAGGCACTGGAAATTCAGAGACACAACTGAAGTAGGCCTCGTTTTCAAGGAGCTTCCATCCTGCTTGGTGGGGGTAGGGATGAGCACACACACAAACTCTGTGTCCTGCATCTGCCCCCATCCATAACCCTGGACAGGCTCCTTTCCTAATCTCCTGCCTGGATTTGCCCTTAAAGCCCCATTCCCAGGTGAATCAGATTGAAATGCTTTAAAAACTTATAAAGCATTTATGAGCCTGTTCCCTTTTAGAACAGGTCAGTGAACATCCCTAGCATGGAAGAAGGGCCTTTGGGAAGGCAGGTCTCCCTCCTCACTAAGGACCAGACTTCCCGGATCCTGCAGTGCTGGGGACCTCCCCTGAGTGGAAGGCTAGCTGAAGAGCGGCCCAGTGTCCCTGACCACGCAGAACAGTAGGCGCCACCGTGCTGAGCACTAACACAGAAGACATAAATACTTAATATGTGGAGAGGCACCTTGGGTCTGCCAGCTGTGAGAGCTGCCCTCTGAGGCCTGTGCTGGAGACAAGAAAGCAGTCTGGGCTTCCCTTAAGTGGCTAGCTCATGGTTAAGTAGGGGCTCAGGCCACCAGGGCACGTAGCTTTAAGGGCACGTAAGAAGTTAGCCAGACTTCCCATTATCTGCCCAGAAGGAAGAGGCCTTCTCTTTCTAATGCCCTGGTGGCCTGATCTAACTGAGAGTTACCATTTGCTTCAGTTATTTCACAGCGTTATTCTGAGGAGGGCCCATAAGCTTCATCAGGCAGACAGGCCTCCTTCAGCAAGTCGTATTGATCTCTCTTTTCCTCTTAGGCGCTGCCCAGAATCGATCTGGATAATTACTCAGTATTGCCCGTGGATGAAGGGGACGAGGACAGGGAGTCAGAGATGGATGAGGAAGAGGAAGCTGTGGGATCCGATCTCGACCTAGACCTGGGAGATGGGGAAGCTGAAGAAGGTTGGCGTGGCCAGGGTTTTCTCTCTGAAATCACCCACAGCAGTAATCCTCCTCTGCCCCTGAGATGGGCTTCTCTTGGCTTCCACAGTGAACTGGTTTTTATCCTGCTCCCTGTTTCTTTCTATGGTGTGGTGGCTAGAGCTCCAGACTCCTGCTCAGGAGGGAGCTGGGTTTGAGCCCCACTGCAGATATCCGAGCTGTGTGACCTTAGGCAAATGACACAGCTTCTCTGAGTGTCCGTTTTCTCATCAGTAAAATGGAGGCAGTGGCACCCTTCCTCCCAGGCTCATTTTTAGGATGGCATGAGATAAGGTCCACAAAGTACTTTGTAAACCTTTGCGCTATGCCAGTGCTGTATCACAGCTATCACTGTGGTGTAGTAGCTAGAGCCCCTGGCCCTGGACTCAGGAGAATCCGAGTTCAAATCCCGCCTCAGTTGCTTATTACATGAATGGTCCTGGCTAAGTCACCTAAGTCATTTAACCTCTCCATGCCTCAGTTTCCCTCATCTATAAAATGGGGATAATAATAGACCTACTACTGTTGTGAGGATCCAGTGTGGTAACGTTTGTGAAGCGCTTTGCAAAACCTGTGTATCTATCTGTATCTATATCTAGCTACATCTGTCCCTATCTCTATGTCTATATGTACACACACACACACACACACACGCACACACACACACACATGCACACGCGCACGCACACACACACATACACACACATACACGCACACACGCACATATATATAAAAAATATGAATACTGGCTGTTGTTATTATGGCATCCAGTTAGAGCTTTTCATCCTTCTTCCCTCAATGCCACTTTTAGATTAACCATCCAGAACTCTGTTGCTCTTAATGCCAGGTTGTCATGCACACTGATTGCCTGGCACAGAGCAGAGAGAACCCTGGTCCCTCTCCTCGTCCTTGCCCTCGAGGCATTGAGAGGCTGGGGCCACCTCCCTGGCCCATGTGAATGGACCTGTGGAGAACAGAGCTGGAAACCCAAGCTTCCTCATTGTGGACACGTCCCTGAGCAAAGAACATTCCATTCTATTAAAATTAAGGGCTTTTCCATTTTTGGACGTGTGGTTTGTTTCCACCGGGGTTCAAGCCCCAACTCAGACACTTTCTGTCTGTGTGATTCTGAGCGAGCTGCTTAATTCCTCCTACCCTCAATTCCCTCATCTGTAAAATGGGGATAATAAGCATATGCCTCACAGGGTTGTTGTGGAGGTTAACTTAAATATCATTTGGAAGCACTTTGCAAAACTAAGGGTGTGTATGCTGGCTGTTAGAATATTCATCTGCATGATTCCACTGGCAGCTAACTAATAATAATGCTACTAGTCTTAACAGTAATTAACATTAGCATTCATAATTAATGCTAATAAATAATATTCTTAATCATAATTATAATTCATGTTAATATTAATAACAGTAGTCTTAAGTGTGTTGTCGCTGGGACCCTGACCCTGAGGCTTGTTGGGGGTTCCCTGCCGACCTGACCTCAGCCCCTTTGTTTTCTGTAACAGATGAGAAGCCGGATGCCTCCCTCCCCCTTCATGTCCTCCCGCTGTATTCACTGCTAGCTCCAGAGAAGCAAGCCCAGGTAAGCCTGGAGGTGTACACGAGCCAGGGCTGGCAGCTCTGAGGACTGCTCACTTCCTCCTGGTGGCCACTCCTGGGACTGCAGTGAGCCAAGGGCCAGGAGCCTCTCACTTTGCCCTCTGGAACCTGGGCAAGGGGTGCCCTTCCCCAAGACTTGGTGTTTGGCAGAAGTTAAGCCACGTGCTGTATCTTGGCAACATGGGGTCTGTTTTTAGGGCTGGAACATGCTCATCCCTTTGCTCCTGGAGACAGGGGAGGGCTAGCCAAGCTGTGGAGGTCCCTGCCATCATCTTCTGTGAGCACGGCCAGTGTGGGAATCACGTGTTTGTTACAAGGGCTTTGTTTTTGGAGAGGAAGAGGTCAGAGCCAGAGCAGAGAGCAGACAGCCACAAAGTGGAGTGGGCTGCGCTGGCCAGGTGGTGCGTTCTCCCTAGTTGGAGGTCATCAAACAGCCAGCCAGTCAGGATGCACTTATTAAATGTGCCAGGCACAGCCTGAGTGCTACATACAAAAAAGTCAAAAGGCAGTCCCTGCCCTCAAGAAGCTCGAAGTCTACTGGGGGAGACCACTGTGGACAAACCAGATACAACCAGGATAGACTGGAAAAGGTCTCAGAGGAAAGTCAGAGGCACTGAGGAGTTGGGAAAGGAGATAGGGCTTTAGTTGAGCTCGAAGCAGCCAGGCTGGGCTGTCCTTGGAGTCTCTTTGGGTGCGGGTCAGAGTAGACAGCTGATGAGGGCCTGTGAAGTTCTGTAGTCTGGGATAGTACCAGTGTGACCTTAGGAAGATCCATCCTCTGAGCCTTATTTTCTAGAAAGTGTGGGTTTTGCATTTGATGCTCTGTTAGGTTCCTTCCAGCCCTGCAGTGCTGTGGCCTGAAGTAAATTCCCACTTGGAGCATGCTGGGATCCAGCTGAGCCTCCTGACGTGGAGGTCCCATTCATACTGACAGGGCTTTGCTTTTCCCTGACTTAGGTGTTCAGATCTCCCCCGGAGGGATGCAGACTGTGTGTGGTAGCCACCAATGTGGCTGAGACGTCCCTGACCATCCCTGGCATCAAATACGTTGTCGACTGCGGGAAAGTCAAGAAGAGGTTTTATGACAAAGTGACCGGTGTGTCCTCTTTCCGGGTAACATGGGTGTCACAGGCATCGGCCGATCAGCGAGCAGGGAGAGCCGGGAGGACGGAGCCAGGCCACTGCTACAGGTAGGCAGGGACTTGGCAGCAAGGCTGCGGGAGAGCAGCCGGCCAGAACTGGACAGTGGGGAAAGGGGACTGAGAGGGGCAGCAGGAGATGGCAGAGAACCCCAAGGACCTGGGTTCAAATCCTGCTTCTGTCACTGTCCAGCTGTGTGACCTTGGAGAAGTCACCTAAACCCCAGGCCTCTCGGTTTGTGAAATGAAGAGTTTGGACTCAAGGTCTTCTAAGGTCCTTCTCAGCCCCAGATTTAGACTCTTTGAGTTGTCCCCAGGGATCTCCTCATAGCACTTCACTCTTCGTCTGGCTTAGCTAACCGTGATATAGTGCATTAAGGCTCTATGAAGGAGTTGCTGATAGTGGCCCCATTTTGTAGATGGGGCAGCTGAGGCAGACACAGAGATCAAGGTCCCACAGCAAACAAGTGGCTCAGATGGCATTGGAACCCAGGGTTGACTCCCACTGCCAATTTTCATTCCTATAAAAGGAGAGCGGCAACAGGGAGAATATTTTTTATTATTATGTTGCATTACTTTTTGTTACGCTCTCGACAAACATGATATTGCTGTCTTCAAAAAAGAAGGTTTCTGTGTGAAACTATGAGTCTTGATTATGTGGAGCTCGGGTTTTTGTCAGCGTATATTAAATTTAGCACGATAGTTGAAGCAATCTTGCCTCTCTCTTCTATGTGCTTCTTAAATGTTTCATTGATGCTTATGACTCCCCCCTGTAACTCCTCCTCCTCCCTAAAGAAAAAATAAAAAGTAAATACGGTCAAACAAATGATAAATTGGACACCCTCCCAATGCACTTCTCTTTGGCAGCCTAGCCCAGTGGTTAGAGTGCTGGATTTGGAGCAAAGACCCAGGTTTGAATCCCACCAATACTTACTGGCTGTATGAGCCTCAGTTTCCTCATCTGTAAGATGGGGAGGATGCTTTCACGAAGCTCACATGCAATAATTCACATACACCTGCCATCATGTGGGCAGGATTCTAGAAACTAGCATTACTTTAGAGCTTCTGAGGACTGATCAGAGGAGGCATTTGAGTCCCAGCAGGGTCTGGAGCATCTCTATGTCCCCCACAGGCTCTACTCGTCGGCCGTTTTCAGTGATTTTGAGAAGTTTTCTCCTCCTGAAATCACCCGGCGGCCCGTCGAGGATCTGGTCCTTCAGATGAAAGCTTTGAACATAGAAAAGGTGAGAGGTAGCTACTCAGGGAGCGGGCTTTTGGGAGAGAAGGTGGAATTCCCCGAAACGGAAGAGGGGCACACTCAGCTTACTGCTGTCTCTCCCGGCTGCTTTCCTGGAGGGAAGAGAGGCTTCTTAGGGTGGGAGGTCGGTTTGGAAGGGGGTGTGCTTCGGGCATGTGTGTGCGAGGCTTGTTGGGTAAAGGAAGAGACGACATGCAGGCTTTTCACAGCTGGAGATTCCATGTAGCTGGGGAACGTGGCTAAACGCTCTGGGTCAGAGAGACTGGGAATGCTGGGCTGAGCCTAATAGAGGCATGGTTACGAGGCGAAGAGGCAGAATTTTCCATGTGGGTTCCAAAAATGTTAAAAGCAAGTGGGCATTCGTTTCATTCTCTGTAGTTTTCTCTGCAGGCCTTTTGACCTGGTGCCAGTCACGTGGCAGGTGATTTATAAACTCCTGTTGGTGGTGGATCTGTTGTTTGAGGCTGACCAGGGGCGTAGGGAGAAGTGGTAGAGACGGGGTTTGACTTGATAGCAGAAAGAAGCTCGTTCGTAATTAGCGTTGTCTCAAAATTAAAGGGGAGCGATCCGCGAGAACCACAGGTGGCCCTCCTGTGAGGTGGGGCTCCAGGTCCCTGGCCTTGAACCCGATGCAGACCTTCCGGCTGTTTGCTGTATTCATTCTCATCTCTTTTCTCACTCTCCACAAATGCTTTTTATAGGTTGTCAACTTCCCGTTTCCATCCCCTCCCCCCATGGAGGCCCTGGTCGCCGCAGAGGAGTTGTTGACAGCACTCGGGGCTTTGCAGGAGCCCCTGCAGACGGGACGGTATGCTGGGCCTGGGGCTGCTGGGACTGTAGGAGAAGGCAGGGCTCAATGGGGTTAGCAGCGACACCAGCTGACCTGCTGTCTGCTCTCCTTACTCTACACACGAAGAAAGTATCACAAGCTGAATAAGGTCCAAATTGACTGTGGTCAGCTGGCTGGGCTTGGTATCAATGTGACCTGAATTCAAATCCTGTCTCACACACTCCTAGCTGGGCAAGTCATTTAACCTCTGCCTCAGTTTCCTTGTCTTCTCAGATGAGGAGGTTGGACTCTTGTGGTCTCCAAGTTCCTTTCCAGCTCTAAATCTGTGATCCTGATGACCCCTTCCCCCTCCGCTGCCTTCTCCTAAAGCCAGAAGTCAGTCACCTGCAGCATTTTTCTCCCCAGGCTGAAACAGCTGCAGGGGGCAAAGCTGAGCTGCCCAATCAGCCCCTTGGGGAGAACCATGGCCACCTTTCCGGTGGCTCCTCGTTACGCCAAGATGCTGGCCCTCAGCCAGCAGCACGAATGCCTGCCCTACATCATCACCATCGTGGCCGCCATGACGATCCGGGAGCTGTTTGAGGAGTTAGACGGGTGGGTGACGAGGGCCCACGGAGAGGGAGCCGCCATGGGCGACCTGGACAGAGCAGCAGGGTGGCATTCTGCTTGGCCTCGAGGGCTGAGCAAGTAGCAGACTTGGCCTTAATATGACAAAGGACTTCCCAGAAGGGGAGGGAGGATGTGGGGTCTCCTGATCATGTTCTTTCAGCAAAGCCTGAAGGCCATACCCACATCTGTTGTAAAAGGGATTCTGGGTCAGATTCAGGAGGCTGGGCATCACGCCGGACCAGGCGGTCCCTGCTCAGGCGGTGCTGACGCAGGTGAGGTTGGAGGTCAGGAACCCTGATTCTTGATCTGCTGCAGACTAAGTCCTTCTTAGGGATCCTGGACCTGACATTGCATAGCTAAAGAGCCCCTTTACAACGCGGGTCTCCTATTCTCTGCCACTTAACCTCCCCAGTTATTAGCCCCCCCCCGGTCCCCCCTGCAAAAAAACCTCATATTATATATGTGTGTGTATTGGTATTTATTTGTCTTTGAATATGCTGCAAATCCTCCAGTAGAAGGAGAGCTGCTGCTTTGCCCTCTCACTTTGTCTAGCACATAGCAGGTACTAAAAAAATTCTTATTGAATTTACCTGAATGTAAATGTAAATTCAAACCCACATCCTCACTTATTACACAAGCCCTTCCACTTCATTGAATTCAGCAAGCCTTTCTAAAGCACCTACTGTGTGCCTGGCAAGTGCTGTGGCAGGTCCTGGGGAGACAGGGACAGAACAGTGAAGAATTCCTGACCCACTTCCCAGAGCTGACGGTTACCTCAGCTTACAATACGGTCACAAAGAAATAAGGTGTTTTTGAAACATTTCTGTATGAGTATGCATGTATGCATGTAGATATGTATATACCCACATACATGTATATACATACAAGTATGTAGAAATAAAATGTTTAAACTCATAGACATTTCTTTTATATACACATGTATGTATGTGTGTGCGTGTGTGTATATACACACACGCACACACACACCCCTGTGTATACGTAAACATATGTACAGTTAGGTGTGTATGTATGTGTGTGTGGATAACCATGCATCCATACACATGAAAAAAATATTTAAACATTTTATGCATGTGTGTATATATGTATAGTATGTACATATATATATAACATATACATTATGTGCACATGCATATCTGCACACAGATTAAAATGTTTACACTATATGTACAGTGCACATGTAAATATACAGTGCTGTGTGTATACATGTAAGCATGTAGATATGGATCGTATATACACATGCATATGTGCATGTATAAATCAACCCGTCTAGCTCACATGTATGCGTGCACATGTACACATGTTGGGGGGGGCACAGATGGGGTAGGGAGGAGAGAGGAAATGGCCTCTCACAGGAGGCCGCCCCGAAGCGGAGCCTTGAAGGGGGCTCAGGTTTCTAGCAGCCAGGATGATGGGGGGAGGGGTGGCACTTCAGGTGTGGAGGGCGGATAGCCTGTGCGCAAAACGAACACTGCATCACAGCGATTTTAAAGAGGCTCATCTGGTGTGAGCGCCTGGCGCCTGAGAGGGAGCGTGTGGAGTCCGGTAGGGAGGGAAGGAGCCTGCCTTTCCTCCTCGAGGCGATGGGGAGCCCCTGATGCTTCCAGAGGCATGGAGGGCATAGTCAGCCCGCTGCCTCCTTCGAGCTTGCTCTTGCCTCCTCTGAGAGCTGATATGTTAGGTGTCGCTTGTGCTCATGTGCTCACAGACCGGCTGCCAGCGAGCAGGAGCAGGCCCAGCTGAAGGGGAAGAAGGCGCGTGTGTCCCAGATGCAGAGACTGTGGGCTGGCCAGGGAGCCTCGCTGAAGCTGGGTGACATGATGGTGCTGCTCGGTACGCATGCCCCTTGCCCTGCTGGGCTGTGTGGGCATCCCCAGCCTCCGCCTGGCCCACCTGGGCACTCCCTGTGAATGTGTGTGAGATGGATGGGTGAGGCCCGGCCAGGGTGTGGACCCACCCTGCTCGTCCTTGTCTTGTAGGCGCAGTGGGGGCCTGCGAGTACTCGGGCTGCACGCCACGATTCTGCGAAGCCAACGGTCTGCGGTACAAGGCCATGTTGGAGGTGCGGCGGCTTCGGGGGCAGCTGACGACAGCAGGTACCTCCCACTCTGAGCTGTAGGCCGCTTTAGGAAGGGCCGGGAGGCCTTCGGCGTCCCCCGCCCATCTTCTCAGCCTCTCACGGGGCCTTCTCACCCTCCCGTGCACCTTCCTCCCTGCAGCCTCGCTGCTGCTGCCCCTGCCTTTTCAGGGGGTTAGGCTTCCTTTGTTTCTGAGGTCATGGGGGCTGGGGTCATGAGCAGAGCAGGAGAGGAGCCTGCAGAGGCTTCCCAAGGGGCCCTTTGAGGGACAGAGAGGTTCAGGGTCATGCAGCTCACTCCTCTAGAGAGGGAAAACTGGATTAGAACCCTCTGGCCCTCACTGGCTAAGTGACCCTGGCAGAGCAAAGACCTGCAGTCGACATAGCCAAGGCCTAGTGGACAGAGCTGGCCTGGGAGTCAGCAAGACCTGGCTACAGATCCTGCCTCTGCCGTGTGTTGGCTGTGTGGCCCTGGGCCAGTCACCGGCTAAGACGGTAACATTCAGAGGAGGAGCTCTGCAGCACTTGTGGAAGGGGTCTTCTCACTGGGAGCTCCTGGTATCAGTGGCGTCCTAGCTAGGAGCCAAGTGGATAGAGCATTGGGCCTGGAGTCAGGAAGGCCCGAGTTCAAGTGTGGCCTCGAAACAGTTACGACTGCTGGCTAGCACTTAGCTGCCGCTTGCCATGTGCCAGGAACTGTGTAAATGTTTGACCCTTATCTGGTCCTTGCAGCAGGCCTGGGAGGTTGGCGCTGTTAGGGTCCCTGTTTTACAGTTGAGGCAGACAGATTGAAGTGACTTGCCTAGGGTCACAGGGCTGCCTCGTCTGAGGTGGGCTTGCCTCCTGCCTCAGGTCTTGTTCCCATAGCCCGCTTGTAGGCAGAGCAGGGGGCATGTTCCCAAGGCACTCACAGGCTCAGTGAAATCCCCAGGCAATTTCCCAGGCTCTTGCTGTTTCCTCACCTCAGGGGTCTTTCCCTCTTTGTCTCGGGCTCCATCAGTGACCTCCATCAGTGAGCACGCTGCAGGCCTCTTTGTGGACCCCAAAATGAAGCCCCCAAACGAAGACCAGGTGAATTTTCTGCGGCAGATGGTGCTGGCCGGCTTGGGCGATCACGTCGCCAGGCGTATCCAGAGCGAGGAGCTGCTTGATGAAAAGTGGAAGAATGGCTATAAGGTAGGTGCCCGCCCCCAAGGCTGTGGCTTCACTCGCCAGGGCGCTGTGCCCCAGCCGCGTCCCCGGCTCCCATCACCATCGGGCGAGCGCTGTCTGCAGCAGAAAGGGGCCCGCCAGCTTCTTCATTTATCTTGTCTCTGCTGATTTTTGTAATCAGTTCTTTCATTAAAAACATTAATGCGGCCAACGAACCTTGGCTGCTGTTCACACTTGTGAGTTAAGGCCCCCTCAGGACCCTTTGTCCTTGTCCTCCCACGAATGTAGAGCGTGGCTTCCGTTTTCGCGGTTCTGTGGCGCTGGGTGTTCTTTGTTTCCTAAGGTCCCTCTGGGTCCCTCTCAGACTCGTCCGTCCTCACACATCATGGTTGCGGTATTCCCTCCCACCAGTGTCCTCCTAGCTGGCCTTCATTTCTGCATAGCTCCCCATTGAGCCTTCCAATACTTGTAACAAAGAATAAAACATAAGTGGCAACAACAGCAGTATGGAAAGTTAAACAGCTGTGAAAGACGTCAGAACTCTGAGGGACCCGGTGACCAGTCACAATCCCAGGAGACCCCTCAGAACAGACCCTGCCCCTTACCTGTTAGAGAGCTGCTGAGCTTGGGGGCTTGTCCTAGAAGTGGCCCGTGCGGGCATGTGTTTTACTTGACTGTACATGTTCATAACTGGGATTTTGTTTTTCTTTCTGTCTCATTTGGGGGTGGAGAGAGAAATTAGATTTTCAGTGATTGAAAAATATTAAAATTTAATTAAAATTTTTTAAAAAATCAGTTCAGCCATGAGCCTACACATCAAGGGTGTCCAACAGTATATGCAATAATACATTTGCATAGCCCCCCACTTTTGCAAAAAATGGTGGGCAAGTGGATTTTTTTCTGTCAAACTAGGTCATGGTAAGTAACACACTCCTTATTTATTTAACCATTCTGCTGCTGTTGGGTGTTGTAAGTTGTCTCCAGTTATTGGTAACCAGATGGATGGCTGTTATGAGAATCTTGGCACAGAGAGCTCTCTATTTGGTTGCAGTAGGACTTTTCGGATGTATTTCCCACAGTGGAATATTATTTTTGTTACTTTTACTTAATGCCACCAGGTTGCTGTCCCAAAAGATCCACTAGTGATGAATGGGTATGTGTGTCCCATATTTTTATATCCTTGTTTGCTAGATGCCCAGTGGATAGAACAGATGCCTGAGTTCAAATCCAGCCTCAGACACTTTCTAGCACCTGCCTGGCTCAGTTTCCTACCTCCCAGGGTGGTTGTTAAGCTTAAATGAGGTAATACTTGGAAGGCACTTAGTACAGCGCCTGATGCGTAGTAGGCCTTTTATCCTTGTTCTCCTCCCCCTCCTCCTCCATTCCCTCCTCTGTGGAGTGTTAACTCAGCCAGTGGGTGTATCCATCGGATCATTTTGGGGTTTTTATTCTGCTCATCAGCATCGTGATTTTGGGAAGGTGTTGACGTAAAGGGCACAGTCAGACATCAGACCTCCCGCGCTCCGTTGCTGGGGGGTGACCTCTGATCTACGAACATTCTCTGTTTTCCCCAGATGAAAGTATTTAGAGCTAACCCAGGCCTTGTGGTCGTCCAGTCCACTCTCTCCATTTTACAGATGAGGAAACAGAACCGGTGAGCTTAGGTGAAATGCCCACGGTCACACAGGTAGTAAGGTCTGAGGCAGGATTTGGCCTCATGCTCCCTGACTCCCAGTGCAGCGCTCTCTTTCCACTGTAGCACAAAGCCCAGATCTGGGCACAGCCAGCTGTCCTGGCCAGACCAGGGTCCCTCCGTCCTGTGCTGAGACACCATCATCCCCAAACCTGCCAGGGACAAACGGACACATTCATAGTTGTGTCCCGAGCCGGCCAGAGGCAGAGGGCTAGTGCCTGGGCTCTTCCCATCTAGTGTGTCCGACTCTGCCCACGTCCCAGATCCTCTGGGTGTGCACCCACAAGCTCAGAGACACTGAGGGATTTTTTCAGGGTCACACAGCCATCCAGCACTGAGCTGGGATTCTCTGGGCAGCAATGTGGGACAGTGGAATGGTAGGTGTGTGCTGTATCTGGCATAAGAGGACCCGGGTTTAAACGCTGCTTTTGCCATTCGCCCTCTGTGTGTCCTCAACCACTTCCTTTCCCTAGGCCTCAGTTTCCCTATCTGTAAAATGAGGGGACTGGACTCAGTAACCTTTAAGGCTGCTTCTACCTCCCAGCCTGGCACTTTGGAATCTGAGTGTCTGATTGATGATTTCCTGTGCCTCCCTTTTTATTTTGGGTGCCCGCCTCTCTGTAGACCCCTCTGCTCGATGATCCTGTCTTCATCCACCCCAGCTCAGTCCTCTTCAAAGAGCTCCCCGAGTTTGTGGTCTATCAGGAGATTGTGGAAACCACCAAGATGTACATGAGAGGTAGGCAGCTGGGGAAGGGAGGCAGCGCCCGGCCAGGCCTTCTGACCCTAGGGCCGGGCGGCCTCCCAGCAGTGAGCACCTGAGCCCTGGCGGCGCCAGTCTCAGGCTTCCCTTTTCTACTGGCCTTTGACCCGTCTGTGCATTGGTTTCCTCTTGTGTAAAATGAGGGCATTGGCCAGGATGGGCTCTGAGGTCCCAGGTCTCAGAGATTTGGTCCTGTCCCAGTGGTTGCTGGAGCTGCCGTCCCCCATCCTGGTCTGCCTCCACAGGATGCCAGCAGCCAGGCAGTGTTTATGCCTCCTGTGTCCTTCTCCAGGGGTCTCTGCAGTTGAAGCCACGTGGATTCCGGTCCTGCTGCCTTCTTACTGCCACTTTGAAAAGCCCCTCGAGGACCCTCCCCCCTCCTACTGCTCCAAGACTGGCCGGGTCGTGTGTCACCGGGCCAGCACCTTCTGTGAGTGTGGGGTGGGGAGGGGGTGGTCCCTTGTCTCTCCCGTGACTGCCTCACCAGAAGCCCTGGGGTTATGGGGATGATGGCTTGCAGTGGGACACCTGTCGCTTGGGCCCCCGGTTCTCCTGCCGGGGTGGTGACCTGCTAATGGAGGTGTGCCTCCGCCTTGCAGATCGCGTGGGCTGGCAGCTCCCTGCCGTGCAGGTGGACTACCCCGAGGGGCTCGAGCGCTACAAGTTCTTTGCCAAGTTTTTCCTGGAAGGAGAGGTAGACAGCCCCCTTTTCCTTGGAAGGTGTGGGAAGCGTTTGGGGTCCGGGGCCCTGGGGCAACAACAGGAGACGGAGCAAACCCCCCTCTCACCAGACTGGCCTCCTTCCTCCCCCATTCAGGTCTTTAAAAAGCTCGCCCGGCACAGAAGCTGCTTGTTGTCGAGCCCGAGCACGATGCTCAAGACTTGGGCCAAGTAAGTGGTGTTTGTAGAGATGAGCATTGGAGGGCTGGGCCCGAGCCTTCTTTGGGGGCCCGGGAGGAAGGGCTGGCCTCTTCAGTCAGGCATCAAGCGGTGCCCTCTTCTTTGCTGTGTTCTTTTCCACTGGCCTCTCCTCCTTTCTCTCCCTCACCTCTCCTGTTCGGCCCTCCCCCTCTGCCTCAGGCCTGTCCATGAGCCCTTCAGACTTTGCTTCGTCTTTTTGTCTGTTTGCTTTGTTTTGTTTTTGCTGAGGCAGCTGGGGAAGTGACTTGGCATCTAGTAAGTGTCAAGTGTCTGAGGGTGGATTTGAACTCAAGCCTTCCTGAGTCCAGGGCCAGTACTCTACCCACTGCACTACCCAGCTGCCCCGCAGTGCCCTTTTCCCCCATACCGTACAACTTGGAGGCTGACAAACGACCCTACACGTTCCCCTCCCTTTTTCCTTTGGGTGGAGAGTGGCAGTCTCAGTTTGCCAGAGGCCTAAGGGGCGGCTTCTGTATTATTTACCTTCTCTCTGCTGGCCTTGGGGAGCAGAGCTCCTTGGGCCTGTGGGCCTCAGCCTTTTTGACCCAGGGACTGACCAGAGGGAGCCACCTGAGCCTCTGCTGCCCTTTTGTCAGGGACACACCCAGGCTGGCTCGGGTCCTGGGGGTGAGGACGAGCAGGTGTCTCTGCCAGTTCTGGATCTGACTGGTATTTGGGGGGACTCTTGACCTTCAGGCTCCAGCCCAGGACAGAGAGCCTCCTGAAAGCCCTGGTTTCAAAGAAGGCGGATTGCCGAGAGGCTTTAAAAAAGGCCTGGAAGCAGGAGCCCAAGTGTAAGTATGAGACCAGCCCTGAATGTCCCACCCGAAGCCCAGGTCTGGTCAGGGGGACACACCTGCCAGTTGCACGGCCCTTCAGTTTCTGGGCTAAAGCCTGGATTTGGTTTATTTCTCCTTTAAAAAGAATAAGGGAGGTCGCTAAGGGATGCCGTGGATGGAACGCTGGACCGCGTCAGAAAGTCCCGAGTTCAGAATCAGTGGAAAGAGCCTGGGACATGGGTCAGGAGATCCATGGGTTTGAATCCCTCCTCTGACACCAGTGGGGTGAAGCCCTCTCTCAGCCTCAGTTTCCTCTTCCATAAAATGGGGCTAAGAGGAGCACCTGCCTCCCAGGGTTGTGAGGATTGAGTGAGAGCATCTGTGTGAAGTGCTCGCTCCATCAGTGCCGGCTGTTCTCTGAGGCTGCGTCAAAAGAATCGGTTACATTGTGACAGCAGCCAAAGACATTTACAAAGCACTTTACCCCATGAGCTAGGTTGTGTAAGAGTTATCAGGGCCCCATTTTCCAGGTGAGGAAACTGAGACTGAGAACGGTGAAATGACACGCCCTAGTCACACCAGTAGTGTCAGAGGTGGGATGCAGACCCCAAACTCCTGACACCCAAGTCCGGGGCTCTTCCCACTGAATGCTGAGGCCTAGTCCCCTCCCCAGAGCTCCAGGGACCTCCGGCCTGCCCTAGAGAGCCAGCTAGGGTTGTGGCAGGCAGGTGAGTGCAGGGAGGAACCCCAGGCTGTTTTCTTTGCAACTAACTGATCTCTGGTCTCTTTCAGATTTGCTGTCTGAGTATTGTGAGTGGCTCCCCCAGGCCATACACAATGAAGTCTCCACACTTTGGCCCCCCTGCAAACCCTGAGCCTCCCGAACCCTCGCCAGCTTCTGGCTTTTCCTGTGGCACCAGGCCTTTCACTGGGCCGGGGAGGCACCAGGCCTCTTTCTGAAGGACTCAGTGCCTGTTCCCCTGGTACAGAGTGTGAATCGTCTTGGGTGGCCCTGGCGTGCTCCGAGGAAGCAGATCTAAATCTCTGAAGCCAGGCTCCATCTCCTTCTGTCTGCATGACACAGCCCACAGTAATCCTGGATTTTCTGGTCTGACTTTTTAGGAGTGTTATTACAGCCTTGTGAGCTGGGCCCATAGACTGTGTCACCTCCCAGTACCTTCTGGTTTTTCACCTCTCTTCTCACCTCCTGCCTTCCTGGGCTCCCTGTGGCTGCTCTCTTCCCTCTCCCAGGTGTCCTTCCCTCGTCTGCCACAGGGTCTTCCTACCCCCAGATCTGTGCAGGTCACTTTCCTCCTCTGGAAGCACTTGGGGCCCCCATTTTCTATAGGAGGGAGACAGACTCCCCTTCTTTGCTATTTAAGGCCTTCACAGTTGGGCTCGGCCCAGCCTAGCCTGTGTCTCCAGACTGGTGACATGATTTGGTCCAGGGCTCTTCCCAGCAGTCTGATTTCTGCCTCCCCTCCTTGATGACACCAACCACCCTGCCATGCCCGGAATGCTTTCCTCCTTTACCAGTCTTTGAGAGCCCCTCAATCCTGTCGAGGTTGTGGTGCTACCACCTTCCAGAGACCTTTCCTAATTACCTGGGTTTACTGCCACCATATCCTGTCCCCTGCCCCCACTTCTCTGTGGATGTTGTATGTAGTTTAGATTTACTGGACCGTGAACATCTTGTACCCCTCAGGTGGACTGTAAGCTTCTTGAGGGCAGGGACTATCTCACTTTTATACTTAGATCTCCAGGACCTAGTGCAGTATCTGTTATGAACTAAAACTTTGTCCTTTTCTTGTTAAATTATTTTTTTTATTTCTAACTTCAAAATGAGCATTTCTATCTTCCCTTCCTAACTGCATGGGACTGAGTATTCCTCTCCTGTCCTCTCCCCTTTTCCACTCCCTTAGATCTAATCTCTTTGAGCACTAGGGGCACATCTCACGCTTTATTGGATTCCCGAGTCCCTTGCGCAGACAGGCCCTCAATAAACATTTCTTTAGCTCGTCCTCCCCTCCCACAATCACCAAATTCCAGTCCTCACTCACTGGAGACAAGGGGGAACTGGTCTCCCCATTTCCCTTGTACCTCACCCCTAATTGTGATGGCAGTAGGAATGAACACCAAGAAGTAGGTTATTCCTGAGAAAGCAAATCCTTTTCTTATGCTAGCTGATGTAAATAGACATTTGGTTGAAATAAATATATTTAACTAATATTCTGGATTGTGGTGTTTCTGCTCGTTTCAGGGAGGTACAGGGGAAAGGGCTTACGGCCTGGAGCCAGCCTGCGTTCAGACCCTGGCTGAGCCACCTACTTTCTGATGCTGGGCAAATCATTTGACGTCTCTAGGCTTCATTTTGCTTGTCTGTAAAAGGAAGGTATTGAACTAGTTGACTTCTGGAGTTGGCTGTCTGGCCTGGGGGAAGGGAGAGCAATAAATTCAGTCCAGGGCTCCAGTGTATTAGCTAGCCTTGCCACGTTGTTGGGATCTGCTCCTTTTAGACGTGCATCCGTCTCTACCTTCCGCCATAGAGAAGGGTGCTTGATGTGGGATTTAAAGGGAATTCACTTGACCAATTCAAGGCAGCACTTTCTGGGCAACTTACTGGTTAGAGCAGGGGTCCTTAACCTTTTTTGTGTCCTGGGCTCCTTTAGCAGTCTGGCAAAGCCTGTGGAATTTCTCAGGATAATGTTTTTAAGCACATCAAGTAGAGGTAAAATAGTCTAAAAATTACTTTGAAAACTATTGCAATATCACTTTTCTTTGTATTCATATAACTTCTTAATAACTGTGTCTCACACAGACGTAGAGAGAGATTCCAAGTTCACAGACCACCCAGAGATCTATTCAGCATCCCAGTGCTGGTACAGTAAGGGGACTTGCCCAGAGTCACACAGTACTGCTTTGGAAGCAGGACTGGAGCCCAGCCCATGGAGGGTTCAGGGACCACTTCTCTGTCCCCGACACTACACACCCTCTAGCTGTCTGATTTACAGATAAGTCCATACGCACAGATTGATTGCATGGGCTCAGCAATAGTTTTTAGCCGGGATTGGGATGCACCGCTAGAAAGGTTTGGTGGCACTATCCTAAACCGTCCCAGGAGAATGAGAGACCCCATGACTCGTGATTCCGCATGAGGATGCACGGAGGATGCACCTCTGTTGGGTGTCAGGCCCAAGCTTGGGGCAGAGGGAGAGAAGAGCATCCGCAAAGTGGGCCCAACCTTTCGCAGCTCAGCCTGCTGTCTCTGGCCACTAGGGGGAGCCGGAGGGCAGGCAGACCCCCTCCTTTTCTGTGCCGCAGCCCGGCTGGCTTACCGGGCAAGGATGCTTAGGCGCTTTTGAGTTAGAGTGGGCCCCTCCCCCCAACTTTAGAGGTCAAATGTAAGGGGGGAAAAGAAGAAAGAAAGAAAGAGAAGAAAAAAAGGGAAAAAATGTAAGCGCTTTGGAGATGCCGGGGATTGAACCCGGGACCTCATACATGCAAAGCATGCGCTCTACCACTGAGCTACATCCCCACGCCCGTTAGCTGCATTTTCTGCCAAGGATGGTGTAGGAAGGCATTTCCTTTTTTTTTTTTATGAAGGGTTTTTTTTTTGCCTGTTTGTTGTCTTTGCACAAACATTGGGGGGATTTCTACTGGTAGGAAGAAGTACCTTTGCAAATGGAGAGCAGAGGGGAGTGAGGGGGTGCCACTGGTGCAAGTTGCAAGACCTAGGGTACAATGCAAGCCCCCAGGCCTGACCCCTGAATTCCATCCTGCTCACACATATATCTGGAGACTGCAGGAACACGTGGCAGAGGACCGAGACACGTGGTAAATACATGGGGGCTCCTGAAGGCGACTGAATAAGGCCTATCCTCGTTAGTATAGTGGTAAGTATCCCCGCCTGTCACGCGGGAGACCGGGGTTCGATTCCCCGACGGGGAGGCTGTGCTCGTTTTTCCTCTATCCAAGGAGGAAAATCTAAAATTGAGGCAGCAGAAAGGAATTCTATTCTGAAAGAGACATTCTCTAAAGCCTAGGAATCTAGAAGACTTTGAGGAAAAGCATGCGTTCTTTTTTTCTTTCCTTTTCGAAAATGCATTCTTGCTTTCCAGCCTGACCTCGGGAGCGCGTGAGAAAATTGCAATACTGCAACTTTATAAAGTCAGACGGAGTTCATCTGCAGGTTGATTTTGCTGAACTGCAGGGTTTCCCACTTCCCCTTTTTTTTTCTCTTTTCTGTAACAAAGGAGGGCTTGTTGAGTAGGAAACTCGGGAGGGGGCGGATATATTCAGAAATAGTCATAAAAAAACCAAAAGATAAAAATATAATTTAAAATATTTTAAGATATCATATACTTATATAGGGCTTTCCTAGACAAAGCTTCATACATGAATGAGTGTATTTAGCCTCAAAGCGGACCTGGGGGGGGGAGGTGTAGATGGTGCAGTAATTATTATTCGCATTGATCAGAATCAAAGCACTTTGCAAACCTTAAAGCACTCTCTAAATGCTAGGTATTGTAAGCTATTACTTTTTACAAATAGGGAAACTGAGGCTCAGAGCAGTATGGTCATCCAGCTCATAAATGTCAAGGGCAGAACTGGAACTCGGGTCTCCAAGTCAATTAATCAACACGTCTATATTAAGTGCCTACTCTGTGCCAGGCAGGGTCCTACCTTCTTCCTGGGGTCCAAAGGCAAAAGGGAGCCAGTCCCCGCCCATACATTCTAACAGTGGGACGGCATCCTCCCGCATGCTCTGTCTTCCCACTGCTTCAGAGACACCTCGCTCTCCTGGTTCTCCTCCCTCTGCCTTGACAATAGCTCTCCCTGACCGCTGATCCTCTCCTCCCCCCTGCCAATCATCTCCAGATGCTCCGGTATAAAACTTGGGCGTCCACGGTTGTCAGCATGTTGTTTCCCCATTAGACTGTGAGGTCCTCGAGGTCAGGCACTATCCTTTGCCTTTCTTTGTATCCCCAGCCCTTAGCACAGTGCCTGGCATATAGTAGGCGCGTAATAAATGCTTGTAAACCTGATTTGGTGTTCCTCAAGGTTTCATCCTTAACCATGCTTACCAATTAGCTCCCATAACCTCTGAAGACAAGTCCCGAATTTCTATCTCCGTTTGTAATTATTCTCCTGGAAGCTCCAACCCCACGTCTCCAAATGTTCCAGGACTAGTTTAACCAACCAGTAGAATGTAAGCTCAAATCCAGCCACTGAGAGAGAGAGAGAGAGAGAGAGAGAGAGAGAGAGAGAGAGAGAGAGAGAGAGAGAGAGAGAGAGAGAGAGAGTGTGTGTGTACTGCTTCTGCTTTCTTTAATACTGGGATTAAAAACTTATTGTGAGTCTCCAAAAAAGGACATTTGTAAAGTGTTTTTTGTTTATATAAATATAGTAGGGGGGTGGGCAGGGTAAGCCGAGGAACAAGGTCAACTGAAGGAATCAGGAATAATAATATTTATTATAATTAATTATAAATATTAAAAAATATGTAAGTAATTATGATAATTAATAAAAATGATTGTTGAATTTAGTTGAACTATACGGTTCCACAGGTATTTCAAAGGCATGATGTCTAACATCGAGTTCAGTATTTTTTCACCCAAAACTCTGTCTTCTGGCACCTCCCTTCACTCTCTCTCCCCTAATGGAAACCTTCCATCAGTTTACCTAGATGAGGTAATAATGTTTATAAGGTAATTTTGAAACCTCAAAGCGTGATATAAAAATGTCAGCTCTCGGCTGTTAGACCTGCCCAGTCCAGTCCACCTCCCTCTCCCAGTATCTACCCCCTCCCTTCTCACCACCTATCAGAAGTGCACCCACCCACCTGGTCTATTGCAACAATCTCCCCAAAAGCTCTGGTTCACACCTCCTCTTTCGTGCAGCTGCAAAAGTATTACTCTTTGCGCACCGGCCAGCCGCTCTCCCTTAAAAATCATCAATAGCTCCCAGTTGTCTACTAGTCAGTCAACAAACATTGAAGAAACATTGTGTCAGGCACTTTGCTATGGATGCTTGCAGTGCATGGAGGGAGGAACCTGGAGTCAGGAAGATCCGAGTTCAAATCCAGCCTCATAGTAAGCTGCATGTGTGACCCTGGGCAAGTCACTTAGAGCATTTACCTCCCAGGGTTGTTGTAAAGATCAAATGATAATATCTATTTTGTGCTGCATAACTAGCTATTGTTATTTTTAGCATTTACAAAAATAAAAAGTAAGCAGTTCCTGCCCTCTGGGGCGGGGGTGGGGGGCAGAAAACATACATAAATATGTGCATATTGGTCAAATCACTTAACCAGCCTCAGTTTCCTCATCTGCCTCTGAGGCTTCCTCCCGGTCTAGAGTCAGGATCCCAAGTAGGGGGTGATTTTGGTGGGGAGCCCTAGGCCTGGAGGGAATTAGGAATGCCCTCACCCTAGTCCTTTGTCTGGCATTCAAGGCCCTCGGCAACTGAGCACTAGGCGGACTTCTCTCTTTAAAAGCTGCCCCAAAGACTCCACTGGACGCTCGCTGGTGGGGAAGGCGGAGGGATGCCTGTCCCAAGGCCATGATTCGGCAGGTCACCACCATTATTAACCTCCATTTAACTTCGTTAGGGGAATGGTGCCTCCAGCAGGGTTTGCACAGATTGAGTCGGGAATTGACAAGCATCTAATTAAAGCACCGTTCCTGCCCTCAAGGAGCTTACATTCTAAATGGGGAGACCACCTATAAAATAAGGATGGCTGTACAAAATAGATTCGGAGTAGGTACTAGAAGCTGAGGGTACCAGGAAAGCCTCCTGAAGAATGTGTCTTGTAGGAAAGCCAGGGAAACTAAGAGGTGACGGTGTGCATTGCGGACATAGGCAGAGCCGGTGCAAAGGCGCGGAGGCAGAGAGTCATGGAATCCCCCGGGAAGTTCTGAGCAGAGCTAGGCTTTTTGCAGGGCCGGGCTATGCGGGGTCTTCACGCTCCGCGGCCTCCGGCGCAAAGCCTCGAGCGGGGAAAGAGGGCGCGGAGAAGCAAGGATTGCGTTGTAGAAGTCAAAGACTAGGGGAGAAGGAGGGGCTAGCGCGGCGGGTAGCCTGAGAAACTTCCGGAAAGGCTCCACGAGCAAAAGGTAGTAGTGAGGTCTTGGGAAGCGCCACTTCAGCAGCCGAAATAGCTCAGTTGGGAGAGCGTTAGACTGAAGATCTAAAGGTCCCTGGTTCGATCCCGGGTTTCGGCAGAAGCT